GTAAGGGATAGAAAGCAGTGTGTGTTTGTGTATAAGGGATGTTTTGTGTGTTTTTGGTTGTGTGTAAGGGATGCATTGTGTGTTTCTGTGTATGTGTGCAAAGGATGCATTGTCTTTATGTGTAAGGGTTGCATTGTGCGCAGGGCCGGACTGGGAGAAAAATTTGGCCCGGGCATTTTTTTAACACAGCGGCCCACTAAAAAGGGGGCGGGGCATAGGAGGTGTGTTTTGTCATCACCAATGACAAACACGCCTCCTCTCAAAGTGAGCATGTTGGTTCAATGCTCTTCCAGGGCAGACCATGCGCAGAGCTCTGCTGAAGAGCTCTAGCATGAGAAAAAAGTCCTGTATTTGTTCTGCACAGTGCAAGCAAATTTAATAACATGCTTGCACTGTGTTTCCTTGCAACTTGTCTCTGGTGTCTCTATAAATGGATACCAGGAGACAAAAGGCCAGGAAAGAGTATTGTGCATGTGTTTGGAGCCTGCTTGTGGTATTGCGTGTGTGTAGAGTGAGCTGGTCGTGGTGTGGTATTGTGTAATAAGGTCGGTTTTAGTCGTGTTGTGTTTGTGGTGTAATGTGATGCATATGTGGCTCAGGGACCCCCTCCCGCCCGGCTCTGGAAAGGGGTTAAAACTTACCTTTTTCCAGCGCCGGGCGGGGAGCTCTCCTCCTCCGATCCGCCCCGTCGGCTGAATGCGCACGCGCGGCAAGAGCTGCGCGCGCATTCAGCCGGTCGCATAGGAAAGCATTTATAATGCTTTCCTATGGACGCTTGCGTGCTCTCACTGTGAAAAGCACGCAAGCGCCTCTAGCGGCTGTCAATGAGACAGCTGCTAGAGGCTTTGGGGGAAGGCTTAACCCATTGATAAACATAGCAGTTTTTCTGAAACTGCTATGTTTATAAAACAATGGGTTAACCCTAGAAGGACCTGGCACCAAGACCACTTCATTAAGCTGAAGTGTTCTGGGTGGCTAGAGTGGTCCTTTAAGAGTGTGTGTGTGTGTGTGTGTATATATATATATACACACACACACACACACATATATATATATTTGGAAGTATTGTGTATGTGTGTGGTGCAGTGTGTTGGGGGGGTTCTGTGTGTATGTGAGGGGTGCAGTATGTGTGTGTGTGAGGGTGCGGTGTGAGTGATGGGTGTGAGAGTGCCGTGTGAGAGTGCCCTGTGTGAGATGGGTGTGAGAGTGCTGTGTGAGAGAGTGCTCTGTGAGAGTGCTGTTAGTGTGATGGTGTGAGAGTGCTGTGTGAGAGAATGCTGTGTGTGTGTGAGAGTGCTCTGTGAGAGTGCTGTGAGAGAGTGCTGTGTGTGATGGGTGTGAGAGTGCTGTGTGAGAGAATGCTGTGTGTGTGTGAGAGTGCTCTGTGAGAGAGTGCTGTGTGTGTGAAAGTGCTGTGAGTGTGATGGGTGTGAGAGTGCTCTGTGAGAGTGCTGTGTGTGATGGGTGTGAGAGAGTGCTGTGTGTGTGAGAGTGCTCTGTGAGAGAGTGCTGTGTGTGAAAGTGGTGTGAGTGTGATGGGTGAGAGAGTGCTGTGTGAGAGAGTGCTGTGTGTGTGTGAAAGTGCTGTGTGAGAGAGTGCTGTGTGTGTGTGAAAGTGCTGTGTGAGAGAGTGCTGTGTGTGTGAGAGAGTGCTCTGTGAGAGAGTGCTGTGTGTGTGTGAGAGTGCTGTGTGAGAGAGTGCTGTGTGTGTGTGATGGGTGTGAGTGCTGTATAAATGGTTGTGTGTGTGTGTAGGGGGGTAAATAAAAACAAAAATAGGCATTATGTCCCTCCTTCTACCTTTAGCCTGGGAGGGGACTGCACGCTGGGACTGGGAGGGGGTCCGCACGCGTGTTCTGGTGGTTCTGTAGGAGTGAACTCTAGCCTGTGAGGCTAGAGTTCACTTCGCTAGATCCGCCAAGCGCATGGTAACGCTGCTGATTCGGGCAGAGGAACCCGGGCGAGCTGTAAGTTAGAGCTCCGGCTGGTCCTCTCCAGCCTGGCTGGTTGCCTCTCCCGGGCCGGCGTGATGTGGGCCGTGAGGGAGATCTTTGATCTCCTCTAATCACCGCCTGCTGCTCGCAGGTAAAACAGCGGGCCGCTTAGGAGAGTGCCGGGCAGATAGACCGGGTAGGAGATCCTGGGACCTCCCCTGCCGGCCTCGGCCCCACGGTCACCGCGGCCCACCGGGCATTTGCCCGGTGTGCCCGATGGCCAGTCCGGGCCTGATTGTGCGTGTGTGTTATGGATGCATTGTGTGTTTATCTATGTGTAAGGGAAGCATGTTGTGTTTCTGTGTGTGTAGGGATGCATTGTGTGTTTCTGTGTATGTATAGGGATGCATTGTGTGTATGTGTGTGTAGTGTGAAAAAGCTCCTTGCACTGCCCCCTGTCCTTTAGAGCTCTCCCTTTCGTCCCTTAGAGCTATCCTCTGCCCTAGTGGTCTCTACTCTCCTCTCCTCACTTAGTGGTCTCTCCTTTTCTCTCTGACTTTCCATTAGTGGTCTCTCGTCTCCTGCTTAGTGGTCTCTGCTCTCCTCTGCCCCCCTTTCCATTAGTGGTCTCTCCTCTCCACCCTTACATTAGTGGTTTCTCCTCCCCCCACCCTCCCCTAGTGGTCTCTACTCACCCCCCTGCACCCTTTAATGGTCTCTTCTCCACACCCCTCCCTCCCTTAGTGGTCTCTGCTCTCCCCCACCCTCCCTTAGTGGTCTCTCCTCACCCACCATCCCTCCCTTAGTGGTCTCTGCTCTCCGCCAACCCTCCCTTAGTGGTCTCTCCTCCCCCCCCCCCTAGTGGTCTTTTCCTCACCCTCCCCTAGTGGTCTCTACACCACCCCCTCCCTCACTTAGTGGTCTATCCTCTCCCCCCCACGTTCTGCTCAACCCCCCATATTTTCTTCACCCCCCCATTCTCCTTAACCCTCCCCTCACACTGACACATGCACACACTGACACACAGTTACACACTCACAGATACACACACACACCTTGACATACACATAAACATACATATTACAAGTATTCTTTTAAAATAGCTTTAGTGCTCCAGACCCCACACTCCCATCAACCCCAGCCAGCAGCAGGCCCCAAGAAAGCCACGCTCCTGTTTACATACTTTCAGTGTTCAAGAGGGTGACTTGCTTGGGGCCTGCTGCTGGCTAGGGTTAATGGGAGTGTGAGGTCTAAAGCAGCTCTCTGGTTGCTCCTCTCCCCACTGCTGACTGTGGTGCCAACACATCCACCCTCTCTCTCCCCCACGCGGTGTCTCAGTAAGAAGCTCGGAGGAAGTGACAGGCTGTTACATCCTCTCAGCCGGCCGATAGCACAGAGGCCCAGTCAGGCTTTTAAAGGGCCACGGCACCTGACCATGCTCCTGTTTAGCAATAAAGAAATAATACCCATCAGGGGGCCCTAAGTACTCGGGTCACCTTAAGGGCCCCCAAAGAGCGTGAGCCCCAGTGTACCAGCCGTAGTTCTGCCAGTACTCCCAATATCTTTACATCTACATCACAGCCTATTTCTGAAGTATTTTTTCGTGGAACAAATGTATCTTATCTGCTGTTGCCTATTTCAATTTACTGTCTTATCCTTTAGTTCATTTTGAAACATTCTCTCCGGGGAGATGGTCTAAGTATTCTACATGTTTAGCAGCACGTTGCAATTTCCAGATTGGTATCCGCTTTCTTGATCTTTAGATGCAGTGCGGTTATAGTGCCAAAAGTGCTCTGGCTCTTGTCGCCACAGTAAGTAGCCAAACCATTTTAGAACGGTTTGATTTCTTACCTGGGTTCTTGCTGGGTGTGGCTTCTTGCATCCACTATGACCAATAAGGCAGGACTTAGGTAATTGGCTGAGAGCAATCAGTGTTAGGAGCTTTTTAAGACTCTCCTGGAGTTTACAGAGAGGCGGGGTATGGTGCTCATGGAGTCCGGGTAAGGAGTCTTAATAAAAGCATTTGAATGTTTATTATGAGGATGTGCCAAGTCACTTCTGGCACCATATCCATTACAGCATGCTATAAATGGACATTCCACTGCCCCAATTAAAAAAACAAAAAACGAATCTGTTTAGTAGATATGCCCATAATGAAAACATTTGTTCCATTGGTGGTATATCTAAAATCAACTTGCAAATGCAATTTCTGCAGATCTTTTGTCTGCAGCCCTGTCAAACCTTCCCCTTCTGACCCCACCCAGACTTTCAGTGGCTGTCCAATCACAGAGTGCCCAATGCAGCTTAATGAGAAGTCTTTGCAAGGCAAGTGCTCGAGGTAATTACTGACTTATGAGTTAAACTACCAGTGATTAACTGGTCGGGTTGTCTCATTGACAGCCAGTGGGCTGTAATATGGTAAAGGAAAACTATAGTGTTAGGAATACAGATGTGCTATCCTAATGCTATAGTGTCAACATTTAGGGGACTGTGCCCTTGCTCAAGGTTTAAAAAAGTGATGTTTTCAGCTGCAGGGTTAAAAGGTGGGGACATGGAACCTAGACCACTTCATTGCCTATAGTGTTCCTTTCATTTATAAAAGTGCCAATGTCTATTGAAATCGGCACCTTTTGTAAAATGAAAAAAACAGGGCACACTCTTCACACGTAAAAAAATACAATTAAAATAAAAACCAGGGCTGTCCTTGGCACATAAAATCTAACCTCTCTGTAGTCGCTTGGATAATTTCCACATTAACTGTTAAAAGATGCCCAACCTTGGCAATGAGAGGCTTCAATCACCTAAAGCACTTTAGCTTGATGACATTTTTTTGTCACTCAAAAAAAATGTTTGGTTCATACCCATAGACCCATAGCATTGTAACCACTAAAGTGAGCTGCAGTTATGTTGCTTAGAGTGCCCTTTTTTTGTAGATAAGTGATAGAGAGATCTCTCTCGCAATGTGTGTTTAAACATCTTTCAAAGAGACTGATGTTTGATCTGTGTTGCAACTAAGTCACATAGCAAAGTCAAAATCAGACCCTATCTTCAGCAGAACTAGGAGGGGCTAGAACAAAGGTGGAGTTGAACCTCAATGTATTAAATGCCCCCATATGAGCATATATGAGGAAAGGTGTTCAGGTTGTGAGTTCCTTTCTAACCTGACTGCCTGAGGAACAACACACACCTTCTTTCAGTGCATAGGAGCAAGGCAATAGCCCTACAAGGCCCTAAAGATGACCAGGATTTTGTCTGTTTTTAAGGCTGTCAGATCCTTGAAACAAGGGACTGGGGTTGCCAGTGCAGCAGCTCATTCACAATGGGGCTTTTCCAAAGCTGGACTTCGGTTCATGAGTGTAAAGGTACCGGGGCATTACTTTATTTTTATATTATCCTTCTTTTCTGTTTATTTGGCCGCATGATTATTGTTGTTTTTTTATTGTACGTTCAGTCTATAATTTAAGAATAATTAAGATCAATTTGAGATACATGCATTAGTACATATTTATATAATTGAGTTAATGATAAATAATGCTTCAATAAAACCTTGCAACAACTATTGAATGAATAATTTGTGTATACATGGATCCTAGCTCTCATATATTTCAATTAGCTTGAACCTCTCTCTATATCTGCGATATTTCTCGCCAGAGAGACTAAGTACTTATATCTGGGATGCCTATAAGGCTCCAAACATCATTCTTTATGCAATGCTCTTGATTAGACTACCCCTGCTTGCAGCCTACCTTTACATTTGATAAAGTCTAGCTAGGGAATTAAGAATCACTTAAAAAGGACCTACCACTCACAAAAAGTGTGAATGGACAAAGTCAATTTCATTTAAAAATTAAGATTGTACTTATTCACTGACAGTCATTTTTTGCTTAAAAAAACAATGCAGATAGCATATGAACATATAAGAAACAGCCATTTTGACTATAGATTACTGCTCAACTTTTTAGAACTATAGTGAAGGTAGTTAGTACGTGATGAAACGAGAATAATAACAGTGATCACTTTATGGGTGCTTGATGACATTTTTGGGAATATGACCTTCTTAAAAATGCACTCATACCCCTAACGCAATTCTTCTGTAGTATATGGAAGGAAAGTCCATTTACTGTGCCTCTACAAAGATTATGTTTCAAAAGATTGGAGTCTTGAAAAATAAATTTTCTTTGCAGTTGTAAAAATATTTAAAATATTTAACCTACATGTTCTATGAGGGGGGAATGATGAGTTTATTTACACCTTATTTCCATTAAATGCATAATTTGACATTAAACGATAACGGATGCCTACTGTCTACATGTAAAATTGCCATTGCCACCATTTTCCATAGACACACATTATATCACCATGTTGATTTGCTGTACATAAAAATTCTGCCCTGCAGTATGTAGAATTCAAATGCTGCACTTTTCCAGACCGATTTACCACCTGATTTACAACTTGCTGCATCTGACTTACTGAGTACTACATACTACAGGGTAACACTTTCTATATGTTACCTTTTGGTTTGTGTAAGAGATATGTGCCATAGAAAACATGGTGCAAGCCATTGTGGGATTTTTGCTCACCACCAGAGTACATTGGGTAAAGCTGCACTCTGGATTGCGGGACCATGAAGATGCCACCGCCATATTTTTAGATATCGTATTCATTTATTTATTTGTGAATCATGTTTTATTAAATTTTGTTTTTTTTGAATGAGACAGTAAACAAATCATACCGCCATAAAGCAATACTAACACATGAAATTTTGTAAAAGACAAAGACATTTCTTCTGTAGATATGAGACAAGCACAGGGCCAGATGATCCTTGGTTTGCTTCTTACTACTTAAAAATGCTTTGACAAAGAACCAGGTTATGGCACCAAAGGTTTCTAGCACCATAACCACTCCTGTAGACTGTAGGGATTATGGTAGCTAAGCTGTCCCTTTAACTAGTAAATATTTAGTTATATCCACCACTATGTCTGGCAAATAAAAAATAGTTTTCAAATCTTTTCTAATCTAATTAAAGTCTTGTGAACATTTTTAACCTTGAACTAGCAGTAAGAATGACATTATCCATAGATTTCTGGTGTTTGGTAGCACAGTTCACATGTCCTGCATACTTACATTACTCAGCAATTTAACAACGAGCCGGAGAAAATAAAGTCCACGTGGCAACACAGCACATTCATGCTATGAGCAAATATATAGATGAACCAAAGGTGCTACTGTGTCAAAGTGTACTATATATATAGGCTACATTTTGCAATCTTGTTTTTGAGTCACCACATTTGCTGTTTATTAAATAACCCCTATTGTGACATATTGGTCAATTTGTATACCTGACAAGTTTCTTGGAGGAACAGTCTTTTTTGGGGGCCATAATCCATCTATCCCTCTTTTCTAGGAGCTCCAAATTGTTGGAGTGTATAACAGAGCTTCACAGCAATAATACTCACAGTAATGTGCCTTTAAACTGCATTAAATGTGTGTAGAAATTAGCCTGCATAAATAAGATACTTTGTTCTTGTTATACTTACATTTTTGTTGCATAAATACATTTCTCAGAATAGCTCTGGGCACACAGTCCACTCACACCCCTAAACTTAAGTGTCCTCTTTGTCCATTTGAAGTGTTGGGAGGTATGTATTTGTACAAGCTATTGCTCACTAGGATGACTATTCCAATTTACTTTACATAGTTACATAGTTACATAGGCTGAAAAAAAGACATGAGTCTTTCTCACATCTGTTTTTGCTGTTGATCCAACAGAAGGCAAAAAAAAAAACAGTTTGAAGTGGGGAAAAAAAGTATTTCTTGACCCCAGAAGGGCAGTCAGATATCTCCTTGGATCAAAAAGCAATTGCCTTACAAAATAAACATTATATCCCTGAATATTATGTTTTTGCAAGTATTTATCCAGTTGCTGTTTAAACATCTTTACAGACTCTGATAAAATCACCTCTTCAGGCATTGAATTCCACATCCTTAATGTTCTTACTGCAAAAAATCATTTCCTTTTCCTTGGACTAAATCTTCTCTTCCAGTCTAAATCCGTGACCTTGTGTCCTATGTATAGTCCGGTTTATGAATAGATTTCCAGACAATGGTTCATATTGGCCCCAAATATATGTGTATAATCTTATCATATCCCCATAAGGTGCAGTTTTTCAAAACTAAACAGATTTACATTTGTTAACCTTTCTTCATAGCTAAAATGTTCCATTACTTTTATTAATTTAATTAATTAAATTAATAAGGGAAATACCTTACTGGCCTTTGCAACTACTGATTGACATTGCACATTGTTACCTAGTTTGTTGTCTATAACAATTCCCAAATCCTTCTTGTGTGTTGCTATGCCTAATGTACTACCATTTAAGGTGTAACTTGCCTGTGCATCCTTACCCCAACGCACATAACTTTGCTTTCATCTACAATAAATGTAATCTTCTATTTGAGTGCCCAGTCCCACAATCTATCTAAATCCCCCTGTAGCAAAGTAATATCCTGCTCACATTGTATTACTTTACAGAGTTTTGTGTCATCTACAAACAGTGAAACATGACTTTAAATGCATTTTTCAAGATCATTTTTTAAATATGTTGAATAGAAGCGGTCTACAATTTACCACTTTTGTCCAGCTTGAAAATGTACCATTAATGAAAACTCTGTGTACTTTGTCTTTAAGCCAATGTTCTACCCAAAAACACAATTTTTCATCTAGATCAATTTCTTTTAGTTTGACCATTAACTTATTGTGTGGAACCATATTGAACACCTTGGCAAAATCCACGCAGATCACATGCACTGCAACACCCTGATCTATACTTCTACTTACTTCTTGGTAGAATGAAATTAAGGTAGTTTGACATGACCTATGTTTCATAAAACCATGCTGATTTTTGCTAATAACAATGTTCATCCCAATGAATTCCTGAATATTATCCCTTACTAATCCTTCAAATACTTTCCCAGCCACAGAAGTTAAGCTCACAGGTCTATAATTTCCAGGCAAAGATTTTAAACCCTTTTTAAAATATAGGAACCACATCTGTCAACCTTCAATCCTTTAGTATAATTCCTGAAAGAAAAACATCCTGAAAGATTAGAACAAGAGGTTCACTTATTTCCACACTTAGCTCCTTAAGTATCTGTGGGTGAATACCATACACCAGAGATTTGTTTAGCTTACATTTCTCTAGTTGCTGCAGCACCTTATCTTAAGTCATCCAACCGCAATTTTTTTGCATGGTTTTTACTGCAATAATATGCATATCTCTTGCCATTGAATATTTCTTAATATATACTGAGGAAAAACAGTTATTTAAAATTTCTGCCTTTACCTGGTCTTCATTAACTTAAACACCCATCTTTGCTTTTGTTTTTTTAATTCTTTATTTTTCGTGCATGAGATATCATAACAAGCTTTCATGCCATGCCCCAACAGCAAGAGCATGTTTTGAGATAGACAAAGCATAACAGTTGTGGCATAGAAAATAAGTGCACATTTTTGTTTTATATAATAGACATCAGAAAAAAAAAACAGGGTAGTAGTCAGTGGTGTGGTAACACATCTAATGATAAAACTCAGGTAGTATCGGCTGACTATGTAAGTGAAGATTACAGGAGTAACCTAGTTTTTTGCATGTGAGGCATATTTGTAAAGAGATGGCCGTAACAATTGACTGACCAAGCATAGCGTGTGTACACTAATATAACAAGAGGTCATAACATCTTTAAGCAACCCTGTCTAGTGAGTCAGGTGTGTAAGAACAGGAAGAGTTATAGGTAATGCAATATTCAAGTACTATTAGGCACAGCTTGGGTTATCAACCTTCTACTGGATGTTGAGAAAGTATTGTAGCCACTGAAGTCTGGGCAGCCTTACATTGCTATGTGTCTCAGCATAATCAGCAGGGTAATAAGCGAGGATCTGTATAGCAGCCCTATACAAAGTTCACAATAGCAGGTTTGTACATTCTCACCTCATATGTGTCACAATTAGCATGTTAAAGGGACTACCTAGGTGAGGCATATCACATTGGGGGGGGCACAAAAGAATACAAGAGACAGTCCGTTGGATCCTGCAAGGGTTCGGTGCTACAGGAGTGGATTACAGTAGTGTGCGCCAGACAACCAGTCCAAGCTCAGCCGATGCCCACGCGCGGAAAGTTCCTGATGGAAGTAGGGGATATACTGGGTTGTTCACAGTTGCGGCTCAGTCGTGCGATGCTCCTCCGCTCACGGCCGGTGTCGTATGAAGCAGGGCTTGGATCAACGCATGCAGGTCGGTGAGAGCGTGGTAAGTCCTCCCTCCAGCCCCAGGCCGGCTTACAGGCCGACATCTTCATTCCATGGACCCAGTTTTCTCGAGGGGCCGGGTCCCTCTCCCTGCGGGAGTGACAGGGGGTCTTGCTGGTCAGCCGCTGGCTGCGGCGGTGGGCCCTCCGTCTGTGTGGGCGAAGTCTCAGGGTTGCGCCCAAAGTGGCCTTCGGCCCAGGTAGGTCAGTAATAGCAGGTTTGGGTGTTTTTTAGTGCAGCTTGGCCCAAGAGGATCTTCTGCGCCTTCCAGCACTCGCCTCTCCGCTCTTCTACCCCAGCTCGTACTGGTGAGATTGCGCAGCCTTTCATTAGGGCTTCCCAAAAGCGCTGGAAGTGCCTGTCTATCCGCTGCATAATGTGGTCCATTGAGTTGTGGCTCGTTGCAGTTTGCTCGCTTGCAGTCTCTGTTGGCCAGGGTGCCGTCGCCATTTTGTTGAGTGTGGCTAGGCCCTGATTCTGCTGAGTAGTTAGGTGCTGTGGCAGTCAATTAGCATAGTCCTGTGGGGACCGGGATAACCCCCGCTGGTCCAAGGGGGGAGGGGGAGTGATTTACTGGGGTTTCTGCATCAGCTTCTGAGCCCAAGGATCGGCCGCTTCCTCGTGGCTCAGCCGCGTGTAGGCCTCAAGCCTCCAGTGAAGAAATCCAGTGTCCCAGACTCCCAAGAAAGGTACCGTCGGGTGCAGCTACCTCTCCTGGTTATTAGTAGTGGGAACAGCGATCTGAGTGTCCGGGTTGGCAAGTAAGGCACCCCGATTTTAGTCTCCAGACATGGGAACTTGTGCTAAACACGTCTGGGCTGCTTGGTTGCTAGGCTCCGCCCCCCACTCATCTCTGTTTTAAGTGTGCCTACACTTTATTTTTAAAAATTATTATTATTATTATTATTTTGGCAAGTGCTTCTCCAGTTGAATGGTTGTCAATTGATCACCATTGTTTGTTGAAACCAAATCCAGACAAACATGCTTCCTACATGAAAAGTGTACAGAAGGATCAGCGCTTAAAAACTTAAATAAAGGCAGCACACCTAAATGGATAGGGCTCCCTCATAGGCCTTATAGGTATATAGGTATAAGGAAGGAGAGAAAGGTGGCACCACAGAGATAATATATAAAATGAAAAATAAGAAAGTAGTAATATAGAAATAAACAATGACATATAATACAGAGAGAGAACAATACAAATAATAATAGGTATATATAAAGAACAGTCCAAAAAGAGTCCAGTAAAGCCTTTGGATGAGAGAACAATCACAGTTCTATTTGAGGTAGTGACGTCTATGGAGTAGTGGGATCAAGGGGTTCTTGGGATCCGTATGAAAGAGAAAAGAAAATCTAATAGTGCAATAAAACCCAAATAGGTAGCAGCCGATAAAAGAGGTCTATATGGTCCTACTCACATTTTTGAGAGCTAAAAACTAGCTCTAGTATAAACAGCGTACAGTGGTATAATCCCCATTTATGGGATATGTGAGGGAGTGTTGTAAGTAGATATGTCGTCAGATGGGGACCATAAGCAGTGGTGTACATACCAGGGTCGCAGGGGTCGCGGTTGCGACCGGGCCCGGCCCACCAGGGGTCCCGGCCGCCCCTGCGACCCGGTATGTACCCACAGGGCCAGCCTCTTCCCCTGGGGGGCCCAGGAGCCGACCACCCCAGGGCCCCCTGAGGCTGGCCCTGCTGACACCCGGAAGGCGGGTGGCCGGTCGGGCAGGCGGGCGCGCGAGGGAGCACTCACTGAGTGCTCCCTCGCGCGCCCGCCTGCCCGACTGGCCACCCGCCCAGGAGCCCAGCAGCACCACCACTGGACCCCATGGAATCCCCCCAGCACTCCAAAAGGTAAGGAGGCTGGGGGGATTACATTAAAAAAAAAAATTAATAAACGTGTTAGAGTGAGTGTTAGTGAGTGTTAAAGTGTGTGTTAGTGTGTGAGTGTTAGAGTGAGTGTGTGTTAGAGTGAGCGTTAGTGTGTGTCTGCTAGTGATTGTTAGTGTGAGTGTTAGTGTGTGTGAGTGTTAGTGTGTGTGTCTGCTAGTGAGTGTCAGTGAGTGTGTTACTGTGTGTGTCTTACTGAGTGTGTGTGTTAGTGAGTCTGTTTGATGTCTGTTAGTGAGTGCGTGTTTGTCAATGAGAGTGTATGTTTTGTAAGTGAGTGTGTGTATGTCTGTCGCTGAGTGTGTCTCTGTCAGTAAATGTGTGTGTCTGTTAGCTAGTGTGTATGCGTCTGTAAGTGTGTGTGTGTGTCTTCAGCACTTACCTTTCTCCAGCGCCGGACTCCCTTGGCGCTGGGGATCCCTCAGCCTCTCAGCTCCAAATGCAACCGCGCACGCATTCAAACCGCCCATAGGAAAGCATTACTCAATGCTTTCCTATGGACGTTCAGTGTGCTCCTCTAGCGGCTGTCAGTGAGACAGCCACTAGAGGCTGGATTAACCCTCAGTGAAACATAGCAGTTATGCTATGTTTTCAGCTGCAGGGTTAAAACTAGAGGGACCTGACACCCAGACAACTTCATTGAGCTAAAGTGATCTGGGTGTCTGTAGTGGTCCTTTAAGTGTGTGTGCATCTGCATGCACTGGCGTACATACCGCGGTCGCAGGGGTCGCAGCCCTGTAACCCCTGCGACCAGGTGCCCACCGCCATGTGTTGCGGCCCGGCCCGCGCGCGGGGGGGGGCCACGGATCAATTTTCGCACCGGGGCCCCATGGGTCATGTGTACGCCACTGACCATAAGTAATATAAAAAACAACAATAGTGCTCACTGTGATAAAAACAGGAGAGTGCATAAAAATACCAAATGGTTACTCACATTTAATTGGGCAGATGCACTGCTCAATGACAGGGACTAGGTGGTATAATCCCTGGAGTAGTATCTCTCTGGATCAAGTAAAGCTCAGATGCCAGGTAGTAAAATAAAATGGTAAAAAAGATAAAATGGCTAACTCACAACAAAGAAACTGGCCAAATTACCTTTATTAAAATCCCCCTTGGTGGGGATTATACCACTTATGTCCTATCATTGAGCAGTGTGTCTGCCCAATTAAATGTGAGTAACCATTTTGTATTTTTATACACTCTCCTGGTGTTTTGAGTGAGAGACGCAATTATTGAAGAATGGGGTGCGAGTGTGCTGTATTGCTTTGTGGATTTTATAACGTTATTAAAATTACCTTATTTTTTAATATGCATTTGCTTGAGCCAAAAGCAGTGCAGGACTATGCCAATGAGCTAGCCCTAAATAGCAGAGTCTAGGTCAGGAGAGCTAACGGACACTTCTAGCAGAAGATTCCATCTCTCCATGGTGTCTGAGAATAGCACCTGGCAAACCCAAAGTAAGAAGTCAAACCATTAGTGAATCGTTTGACTACTAACATTGTGGGAGGTGCCAGTGCACTTTCAGCACCTTCCGGCACCATAACCACTAAATGACACTGTAGTGGTTATGGTGCAATGAGTGTTCTTTGTTTGTATGAATTTAATTTATGGTTTATTTGTTGCAAGCCTGTATTAAACTTTATTTAAACTTTAGCATGCCACAGACTTGCCCACTGTGTGGTTTATGTAATGCATGTGGCATGGATCGGGCACTCAGAAGGTTAAAGTGACCATAACACATTAAAATGACTTTTCCTGATTCATTAGATATTGTAATTTATTTCACAACTATTTTTTGCAAGAGTGAAATCTTATTCAGTAACTCATCCAAGACAAAAGTCAAGTGTAATGAGTAGTGAATGTAGTAAAATCTGTACTATTTATAGGGATAGTAAAGTAAATGTCAAAAATATACATTGTTACGCTGATGTATACTGCCTGACCAAGCAGAGATAATTATCACTTGTTGCAGCACGGGACAGAGATGACAATAGATTAGGAGAAAAGAAAAAAAATGACAATTCATTTGTAGATCTGCAAAATTTCCCTGCTTGAACTCCTCTGACAAATTTTTACCTTTATTTAAGGTTATTTAGTTCAATTGGATGGACTTTGCGTTCTTTAATATTTACACATTGAGGTGAGGTGAATGTCCGATGGGATTTTATCTTTTTGGAAATTCACAGAAGTGCCATATCTTTAAACCAAAATTCACAGAAAAATAAAAATAAACCTGCTCTTTACTTCATATTTGAAATTTATAAAACAAATCAGGAGTTTATTCAATAAAACTATGATCCGGAGAGAAATGCAAAGGAAATTAAAAGGGTCTGGTCAAAGTGATCATCACTTATATTTCCAAATCCACAATTATAACCTAACATTTTCCGTTCTATAGTCAGTTCTCCATAACTCCTGTTTAGTTAATATCCCAATCAGTTTATACTTCTTTCATCAACACCTGTGGTATAGTGTCCTAGTTATAGACAGTGATGTATAGAAGTAACAACAGATCAGTTATGTGGGATCTATCTACTAATGAATCTTTTTCAAATCATGAATATAAGAACAAAAGGTAGAATGTAGAGATAAAATGTATCATGGCACCTTCATTCAGTAGAAGAGAGGAGTGAGCACGTGTGAGTTGGAGAGAGAGATGTTCTACGTGGGGCACAGATCTCCTGCACCTCATGTTATATCACCAGGTTTGGCCCTGAATCCCCAAGTTTCTTTATCCCTAACTTCCCATTAAAACCTGAGAAAAAAGTTTTTAAAGTGTGATGGGAGGAGATGGGGAGAGACTATGGGTGGAAGTTTTATAAGTGGGGAAATCAGAGCAAAAATATGTAGACATAGAGTCTCCCTCCATGCTCATATATCTCTGTCCTATAGTGAAAGTGATATCTGGCTTCAACCACAGGTGACGAGGCATAGCTGACACACTGAAAAATAAAATACACAATAGTATTTTATTGACCGCGCTAGAGACAGCATATTCTTCAGGACAGCCTCTGGGAGTTTAACAGTGGACACAACATATAGATTGCCTGTATGCTTTTGGCAGAAGATCAGAGAAGCTGCTTGGCCATTGCAGTGTTACAGGTTCATAGTACAATTAATGTTGCTGGATTACTTCATTCATGAACACAGACACACACGTTTTTACGGAAACTGAATAGTTACTCAGCATACTGTATGCATTCCTGAGAGCGCATTGTTTAAAGATGCACCGTGCAAATTTTACTGATCGACTGAAACCAAGCTTCCCCAAACTCCGGCCCTCCAGATGTTGCTGAACTACAACTCCCATGATTCTGTGAATGAAATAGATGGGCTGAGAATCATGGGAGTTGTAGTTCAGCAACATCTAGAGGGCCGGAGTTTGGGAAAGCTTGACTTAAACCCTGTAATGGTTCTTTGATATCTGTTGAGTCAGACCATGGCAGAGCTTGTCCAATGGTTCTTGCTGTGATTAGGGATCAGACATACTATACTATAATCCTTTGCATGGGGCATGGTTGTACTCTTAGAGGCTCAGAGTAAACTAGGGATGATCTTACCTTGGTCTTCAGCAGGCCTGCACAACCTGCAGCTCCCCAGATGTTTTTAAACTACAACACCCATGATTCTTTGAATAAAACAGATAGCCAACGCCCATGATTCATTTAATGAAACAGATAGCCAACATCCATATTTTTTTATTGAAACAGATAGCCAGGAGATCATGGGAGTTGTAATCCAAAACATCTGGGGGGCCACAGGTAGTGCAGGCCTGGTATACAGCTTCCATGTATCCACCCAAAGTACTCACTTCTTGTACAACAATGGGTTTCGTTATTACCCTGTCTGCATTAAATGTTTTAATACAAAAAGCGTTAGTGTCGTCAATGTCAAACTATACAACAAAAAAGAGACTAAATAATGGGTTCAGTGACAATATAGTCATGTCTCCTATTTGAATTATACTTCCTTATGTTTTTTAGGCACACACTGCAAATTTAGTGCTTGAGGATGGAACAAAAATCAAAGGATATTCTTTTGGACACCCATCTTCTGCAGCCGGAGAAGTCATTTTTAATACTGGCTTGTCAGGGTAGGTGAAAAAATGATATAAACTATCCCTTAAAAAACTAATTATGTTGTGGTTTCCTTAATATGGAATACATGATGTGTACCTGAAAATGGATCATTTGTGTACAGGTATGTGGAAGCGATTACAGACCCAAGCTACCATGGCCAAATTCTCACCCTCACCAACCCGATCATCGGCAATGGAGGTGCACCGGACACCAAAGCAGTGGACTCCTATGGCCTCATGAAATTCATTGAGTCAGAGAAAATTCAGGTAACTCAAACACTAACATTCGACTGACTCTGCATTCTATTTCCAGAATAAGTATGGACATTTTTGTAGATACCACTTGCATTTCAGTATAAAAAAACTAATTTGTCATAACAATAGCAGAATTTGTAATTGTGTACCTTCCTGTCTTTCTAGACTTCTGGCTTGTTGGTTCTTGATTACAGTAATGAGTACAGTCACTGGAGAGCTGTCAAATCTCTATCACAGTGGTTACAGGAGGAAAAGGTTAGTGACTAGTTTTCTTTAATATGGCTTCGAAAGTCTAAGTAGGCAATTGTTCCATGTACTGCAAAACATAGCTTAATTTACATACGATGTTACTATATACAAAACCCAACCACAACTGCCTTTTACTTATATGTTAAAGGATTACTCAAAACACCATAAACACATCTGCTTTTAGAAGTGGTCATGGTGATGGTTGGAATCATCTGTAGATGCAGCAATTCTTCTTGAAGCTGTGGAGTCATCACAGCAATGGAATTTTGGCCCATAGATCATCTCGAGAATGGGTGGAACAAGCTCTTGGAGTATGCAAGGTTTCATTTACCCATTGTAGGGTGGAAATTACATTAAAGTCAAGTACTATCTCTGAATACTCTATTATCCAGTGGGTAGTAGTTCAGTATTACCTTAGCACCAACCTTCTCTGCACTAAGGATACACCATCTATACAATACACACGTGTTAAAACACTTGTCAGCTTTCCCAGTGCCAGAAGAGGAGTCAAGTCAAGACCCGCACATGCCCTTTATCTGAAAACCCTTAGGACATACCTGGGTCTCTGAAATATTGAAACACGTGTCCTACGGTGAATGGAAAGGGGGTATTTAACCTTAAAACTCTGCTATAGTAGCAATAAATGACACACAGTTCATAGGACTTCTTATCACTAAAAACAATGAAAGTGTCAGCCAGGCACAGAATGACCTTGAAAAGTAGACCATGCACTTTGGATCCAGGAACATTCCGTAATACTACAGAGAATTCTCTGCTATACGCTTCTGTTGTAGTGAATCAAACTCCACAATAAGGCTGAGAATGAAGTGTAATACAATTCAGACCATAAACATGCCACAAATCAATTTCCACTTAAAGCACAATGCTGTCCATTTATTAAATAAGAACTGTTAGTCTTATCACCCATTCTTTACTGTTACATCATACGAACTTTGTCCTCAGTAATTTTGAATAGTTCGAAACCCAATACCAGAACACTGCAGATGTTTTTATATTTATATATTTTAACTTTTCTTAAAAATAACAGACATCACTGTGCAGTGTGTACTGTACTGCCATCTAGTGGCTCATCTTAAATAGTACAGCATGATTTGTAATTTCATGCCAACATTCTCTATTTAAAGGATTATAATTGCTACAATGAAATGTTACCCTATTTCACATAAAGAACAAAAAACATAAGACGTATATCAATATATATTGCAAACATACAAGTTCTTGATTTACATTTTCAATCAACTTGCATATAATTAATTCTCTTTTCAACTGTGTTAAGGACACCTATTAAAACCATATCTTAAGACAAGTCTTATTATTACCTGCAATATATAAAAACAATTGTTGCAATAACTTCTTCTATATTAATTCATTTACATTTGAGTTCATTCCTAGTACCAACTTTAGCCGAAGAGCTCGTAGTTAGTTTGGCATCATTAAAATATTTACCACTGTAATATTTTATAATGTTTCTTTAATATATCTTCCACAGGTTCCTGCATTATATGGAATTGACACCAGAATGCTCGCCAAAAAGATTCGGGACAAGGTATGGTTTTATAACATTTTGATGAATTTACAGCATTATATCTTTTTCCAGAAGTTTTTTCCAAAGCTACAAGACTCATATACTACCTTAAATTCAATGTTAGCAACAGTGTGTGCCCTCTCTCACCCTTTTGAAAAATAAGTCTTATCAAAGTCAGCTGTTTTATTGTTCTTTAAATGGATATTCTAAGCACCTAACCAACATTACCATAGTGGAGTTATTTTGGTGTATAGATCATGGCCCTGTAGGCTCATTGCTCAATTCTCTGCCATTTGAAGTTAAATCACTTTTGTTTCTGTTCATGAAGCCCTAAACATATCTTCCCTGGCTGTGACTGACACAGCCTCCATGAAAAAATTGTTTAATTTTTATTCAGATTTCACAGCACAGTGTGTTTATTTTAGAAGCTAATTGTCTGTTAATTGCATTATCTTTAATCACACACACAAAACTCCTACAGGCTCTAGCAGGCAATTAACAGAGGAGAAGATATTTTTCTTTTGTTTCTACTACTTACAGGAAATGTAAAGTTATACCAAACACAACTATTGTGAACTGTATAGAACAGTTTCCAAGCTCAGGTAGATTGTTTTGTAGGATTTCAACAATTTAAAAAAAAATTATAAATCCACTCGCTCAAGGGAAATTAAATATTAACGTCCAATATCAATATTTTTGTTTCATAAACACCTCTCTCATTGATAGCTCTGGTGGGTGGACGTTGATTGATCATAAATATCAGAGCTCTGAGATTTGCGGCTAAAGTGGGGCATTCCAAACTGTGTAGTTTGTTAATGCATTATCTCTATAATGCATTTAATTATGTAGCACCCCTCTATTCTTCCTAAAACATTTATATATTACATTTTCTATTATAAAAGAGAATTTGCTAATCAAATATCTAATTTAGCAAAAGATTATCACAAATAATCATTTGCTTTGATATGCTTTTTTTCATCACAGAACAGGGGGAATTGGAAATATTCAAGGTTATTGACAATGGCCTAATTTGTAACACCTCTAGTTTAATCTGTATCAAGATCATGTATTTGAGAAATTGTGTAGGGACACTTTCATTAAAATGCACACTACAATTTATCAAGATTGAAATATTCAGCTTCAGGACCTGTATTCATCAGCTTGCTAGGGACTGATTTATTCTTCCCTAAAATGAACTAGCAGTCAGATATATGAACAGCGTTGTGAGTTCACTCAGCAATTAGAGCAAACATTAACATGTAATTTCATTTCTAATATCCAAGCTCAGTAGATGCATCTGATTGTTAATTTGCTAGCATGTTGTGTACAATTGGTCCAAATATGCAACATTATTCACATAATTTGCCAATTTAATTATGGAAAAAAAACACAAAACTCAGCAAAACTTTGTCAGAAGAATTACTACTTAATCATTAATGAATCTACAGTGCCTTGTTTTCCATTTGTCTTAAGAGCTAGAGAAACAATATAATGCATCATTATTACATGGTACAGTTACCGCGTAATGTTTTGTGATATTTTGTAACATTCCATACAAATCTTTCTACTTGTTGCTCAAAACGGCATTTCTAAGTTCCCTAATTGCTTTATATTTTCCACCCATCCAGGGGACCGTGCTGGGCAAAATTGAATTTGAAGGACAGCCCGTGGAGTTTGTAGATCCCAACAAGAGAAATTTGATTGCTGAAGTATCAACACAGGTTAATAAGAACAGTGCTACTTCCTGTATATCTTGTCTAGAAACAGTCAGGAGGAATTTGCATAATTAAAGAAGATTTGCAGCACGTCAATTAATTATCACACAGGGTTAACCTCGTATTGTAATTTGTCTTTCTGAACTTCTATCGAGTTGATGCTGACAATATTTGAGACCAATTATTAACCCATTAACTTAAAAAAAGATTATTACTAGACTTGTGCATTGTGTTTCAAAAAAATTGAATTTTCCAAATTTTGCCTTATTGGCGGTCCATCCAAATCCCCGAATTCTGAAAAGCTGCATGGACGAATCACAGCACAAATGAAATGGACAATGAATGAAAGCCATTTTGCTTGTTTGTGATTCAGAGTTCCACTGTGGTTCCCCAAAAAAGCTGATTGATGGAAAATACGATGACTGATTTTTGAAGTGGACAGCCACTATATGTTGATTTTCTTCACAGATCAAGTGAGAAGTGACCAATAAAAGAAAAAATGGAGGAAAAGTAAACAAAAAAAATCTCTTAAATATACATATATATATATAAATATATATATATATATATATATATATATATATATATATATATATATATATATATATATATATATATATATATATATATATATAAAATAGGGGTTTTCTTTTTGTACTTTTGCTCTTCTTTTCCCCTTGACCGAATACTTCTTCTCAATAGATCTGTGAACCAATTGGCAGGAAAATGCTCCTGTCATATTTCAAAATATATCTACTTACATTTTGCAGTATACTTATTGGACAATTTCATGTTCTTTTGGTTTGTCCAATTGGTTTTCCCAAAATGGTTGCATGACTATATATATAAATATATACACATTTTTTAAAAGTTATGGCAGCTTTCACGGTCTTTCAAGGTAGTTTAACCTTCAAACATCCTTGAAAGACAGTAAGTGCTGCTTTAACTTTTTTAAACTATGTAAATGGGCCTTTTGGTTGGAGCACCCAGCAATAAAAATATAAAAAGCCTGAGTGCAAGGATTTATCACTAGCAAAATGTATATACTCTGCAAATAGCAATATAATTCAAAACAAATGAAACTTACAGAACTCATAGGCCTTTTGTAAAATATAATTATTAGTTTATTAAGTGAATAAATCGTAACAATTTAAAGATGCATTACATATAGAAACCTAAATGTTTTTGTCCAAAACTTTTTTTCAATATTTATTCAAAATAAAGGTGTCGGGCTACATTACCTATGTACTAGTTGGTAAATCGTAATGTCAGAGCCCTGTGCTGTGAATCCAGATAGAGGATTGTGGCGGGACCGCTGCCTGTTCGTACATTGCCTTGTTATAAGTTGTGTGTTTCCCTGCTACTTCATATAAATGTGCCTGCTCCCAGTTCGGGAGGTTTTCCACGAAGGGAATTGATTCACCTTCCGAAAGGGACCACCCCAATACCTCGTTTAGAATGTTGGTTTAGAACGTTTGCACCTCGTAATAAGGTATCAAAACCTCAAACCGCATGGGAAGCCTTGGAGTGGCAACCATTTTGTATAGGTGAATGCCATCCAGGGGGAGCATTCTCAGATTGATTCCCACCTTGTTTGGTTCCCAAACAAGGACCTTCCCCGTGCCCATTGGAATGTTCGCACCAATCAATTAGAACGTTCACAACTTGCAACATAAGTGTGAAACTGCAAGGGAAATAATTAATGAGTGCTTCCCTGGGTGACCGCCTTTCGTATAGACAAGCGCCAACCAGGGGGGGCATTTGTACCCTCAAAGGAGACGCTTCCCTTGCCTGGTTTCACACGGGAACCCCGCGTATGGAAGCTGTTCGAGGCAGGTACTATTACGAGGGTCCCTGGGGATTGGTGTGGACATCCTTTGGGGACAATGGAGGGTTTGGGGAACAAATAGGCAGGGGGTTTCCCACGCAGTGCTTCCAAGGTACTGAGACTCATGGGAGGGAGACACTGAGTGGCGAGTCTTTCCATGCCTGGGAGATGAAGGGTCCCCCGCTTCTCCCGCTCTTTGGCTCCCAATTATGAAGGATCCTGGGAAAATGACCCCCTGTTCCCGGAAGTGGGAAACCCTGTGTTTGGGTGGCAGGAACAAGGGACAAAGGAACCAGAGTTCTGGTCCCACGCTGGGACCCCTGGGAGATGGAGGGTCCTGGTAAGGGACAATGTCCTTGTGTGTGACCACCACTTGCATAGGGAAAAGTATAAAGCCAAGTGTGGCTATAGTTGTTGTTGTACCCTCTGGAACTGTGTGTCGTCCAATTACTGGGGGAGGAATGGGTCTCAACGATAGGTAAACGCCGTATCTTGGATAACATAATAATAATAATAATAATAGGTAACCGAACAAGCTACCCCTGGCCCGCTACAGGGATATAGTGCACCCAATATTAAAAAAACTGCAAAGCTTTGTGCTCCTTAGATTGGGAGGCCTCCACCCAGTCCTGATGGGTTTATCTGGTAAAACCATTTAAATGTAACACTGGAGTGTTTAAAAGTCTATTCTATTTAGATTGTTTGGGCTCCACATTGTATTTAATTTAGGCTTAACGTGCTTTAGATCCAGTGGTGCTAGGGTTCCTTGCCACAGCTCTCCTCTGCAGAACTGATGATCTCCTGAGAAATCTGGTGCTTCTCATACAGATGCACTGAGGCAGAGGGCGCATGCACAGCAAAAAAAGTGAGAAACATTGATATAGACTTTAAGGGACAGTTATCCACTAACTAGTAATTTAAAGGTTTACTACAACCACCATGACCACTCATCTTTCGGTTTGAAAGGCCGGCTGTCTTGATTATGATACTTGAATTAACCCATTAAAGGAGCCGTGGTTTTGCAACCGAGAAGGGCACCCTCCCTGCTGTTCAAACCTGTCACCTTATAAAAGTGCTGATTTTGCTTGAAATTAAAGCACCATAACAACTTCACTTTCACCATGAAACGTGGGCTGTAGTGGTTACCATGCTTGGAATAACCCTTTAAGGAGCCATGGTTTTGGTCTGCTGAGAGCCTCCGAAACCCAGTTCTAATTTATACTGCTCAAAATCCGTATTTTCATATTCAATTTTCCACTGAAAATCTGATTTTCAATTATCGAAACGTTATAGTTTCTTTATTTATACATTTATTGAGCTTGAAGTGGCTCTTTAAATTACTGACACTTTAGTTGATAACTGTCTGTGAATAAACTTTGTTGCAAATCCATAAACCTCATATTTAAATCGACATCGAACTGTTAACCCGTGCAAACAGTTTGAAAGACATCTGTCTATGTATATACAGTACGTTACAGGGACAGAAGTGACTTAACCTGGATTCCAGTAAGTTATCATATCAGTATTCAAGCCGTTTTACATATTTACATACACAATGTTCTTAAGACACAGCAGCTGCTTCTGATCCTTTTTGTTGTATGTTTATCTTATCAAAAATGCTATTAGAATGAATTATGTTTAATAATTCAAAATAATCCTTTATGAAAAGTTATTCAGATTCCACAATGCTTGTTTAATCATCACAATAATATCAGGTCATTGGAGTGCTTGTTAATAAGGATGACTTTTGGAAGGTATTACGCTGACATGGCTTCGACAGATCTCGGAGACAAAAGACAGAATATTTTATAACTGCGCCTTGAAGGCTTAAAAAGCCATCTACTAAAATAAAGTTGACAATAATGAAATTTACCAATGGCAGTAATTAGTGAACACTGTAATCTGTCTGCTTCAGTGACAAACAGCCACTTAATATAAACCAGCATGAGATACGTTCGTTTTCAGCAAGAGCCAAAAATTGATTTCTTAACATCTGCTTCTGCCTCTTTCATTAAGAAGCTGTTCACACCAATAAAACCCTTGGAAAATATTGTAGCGGTTGAGGTTCGGAGAAAGATTGTATTAGTTGCATCCAGTTTGTTTCACATGTGCCAATGATGATCAAAGATGTCTCCTGCAGTGATTAGCTTCACACAAATACATCTGTATCTTCAAAGAGTGAAGCAGTCTTAAAAACAGAAGCACTTCTCATTTGCGAACAGATCATTTGCATCTTAAGGAACTTTTATATCAGCTATAGAGAACAAACATTTAAACCGTGTGAGCCTTTTAAGTCCCTAATGTGCAACAAAGACCTGCTTGGCATGGATGCTGTTATAAAGTAACATTTCTTTAACATGTTAATAATTAGTCAATTTCTGTAAATGCTTAGAGTTCTACAGCTGGAATAGTCTACAGAAATCAATCATTGACTTCCTGTGGTCTAATAACATAGTACAATCACTATAAATCTCAACCAGATTTGTCAGACATTACACACAGTGGAACTTCGGAGCTCGAACTTAATCCGCTCCTGAAGGCTGTTTGATTTCCGATGTGTTTGAGAACCAAATCAACATTTCCCATAAGAATTAATATAGAATTGATTAATCCGTTCAAGACCCCCTAAATGACAGCATTTTATATCTATATGTATGCATTAAAAATAATTCTCAAATGACCATGCCGCCAGTGTATTAATTAGTCTGGCGGTGTGGTAAAAGTAATGTTTAATCTCTTTTATATTCCAAAATTAAGATTCCTGACATCATTTATTAATGGATGGATATTTTGTGCATGATTCTCTTTCAGAATTGCACCATAGTACACTTTTGTGGGTGGACTATAGTCTAACATGTTTGCACCCCATACATAACAGTTACCATGTACTTACGAATGTTACCAATACTTTTTCCACCCAAAAGCAGGCAGGTGTTTACTAGAAACTAAATGTAAGTCCATAAACATTGCCTTAAATACTTCAAAACTGAAATATACATAGGAGTAGGATCACCTTTCTTCAATTTAGTTGGATGTTTTTAACTCCCTACTGTACTCCAGACCTGTGACACTAGAGATGGGACTTGCAAATGCACTTTTTTCTGACTTGAAAATGAGACATGGCTCTTTGTTGTATGTTCGGGTACCGAAGATCAATCGCGCACTGAGACATTTTTTAACTCAAAATTTTCGTTCGAGTTACGAATTGTTCCTTGACCTTTCGAGTTCCCACTGTATATCTATATGTAATTATTAAATGTCCCAAAATCTATCACTAGGCTATGATTAGGGATAAGGGTGGTTGCTGTAGTCTTGCACCAGAGTGTTACAGCCTTGCAGGTGTCCAAGTCTTGCAATGGAAGCTATGAAAAAAAGTAGTCGTCCACACACTCAAAGTGATAGCCAAAAAAAAAAGCAGTTTTATTGGAGCAAACAAAAAGTAAGGTTTCATCCCTGACCGGATCTTTGTCGAGCTTGACAAAGACCTGGTCAGGGTCGACACGTTGCTGTTTGTTTGCTCCAATAAAACTGCCTTTTTGGCTATCACTGTGAGTGCCTGAACCACTACTTTTTTCATACTAACCATGATGTTTGGCCTTCCCCAGATCCGGTGCACCATGGCAGCTTGGTGAGTTTGGTTTCCCACATTCCACTACTATTGCAATGGAAGCTGTCTTGACTCATTGCGTGTGATAGTCCACATTATGGAAATAATTCAAATGTGGTAAAGATCAGCACTTTGTCTGTATGTTGTTACCTCTGCTCTGGCTTGAACCAATCGTTACATTGTTTATTAAGTCTTAGATGGCCTAGATACTTACATATGCTGATACAGAAAGTAAAACTGCTTCTTTCTTCCTCATTTGTAATTGCAGGAGATCAAAGTGTATGGCAAAGGCAATCCTGTGAAAATTGTAGCTGTGGATTGCGGTGTGAAACATAACATAATTCGCCAGCTGGTGAAGGTGAGATATGTTCATGCCATGTTGGTGCAATATGGTCGACTCTGGCAGCAAAACGTCCCATCGGAAGGTTTCAAGCTCAATGTAATGGAGCCTCCTGTACCTCAGTTGGGTACCTCCGCAGATGGATTCTCCTAGTGCTTACGAGGTCTCCGAGCACTTCTCCAGACACCATAAACACTGCAGTCCCCACAACCAACCTACGACAAGGCTCCAGGTTCCAGTGGGTGAACCGCTCTTCCTTCAGAGAGTGCAGCAGGAACAGCTCTTACAAGAGCTAAGGGAATCCAAGGGAGTATAGTGTTTATAGCAATCCCTTGTAGTGATATAGCAGTTCCCTACAATAAGAGACAGAACTCAGTATTGAGGGTGAAGAAGTCTGAGAGTTTAATGGAGGCACACTGGCCTTTTATGCAAGTTTCCCAAAAAGGGTGACACCCACATGGACCTTGTTGGGCACAGGGACACAAGTTAACAAACTAATAAAAACAGTAATTAAATATACGCCACTCCCATAACAAGCATACAATACCTCCTCTCTGCCTGTGATATAATTAAGACAGATAATGCATTAACTTAATTATCCCCAGGCAGAAAAACCACACATTTTTACAAAGTCTCAAAAGTACCCCAAAACACAACATAGTTTTGCCCAGGCACAGATATGGTCCCATGCCCAAAACAGTTCCATAGAATTAGTCTAAGCGGCCGGTCTAGTTCGGTAGTGTGCAAACGAACAACAGAGTCAATAGTCTTACCCTTGAGCTTGTTCCCTTCATCCAGACGAATGATCTCACCAAACAGTGCCCTTCTAAGCTGAATAGAAATGAACGCAGGCGATGATGGAAGTCCAGCGGTGTTCGGGAGTTTCTGTATCCGATTTTAGTTCCAGGAGATTCATGCCCAAACACCGCTGCCTTCGTTCATGCAAACAAGATGGCCGCCACCTCGTGGTTGTTCAAAGGAATTGCGACCACCCAAACGAACAATTAGAACACTGTGGTGTGAAACTTTCCAAGTTGTTAATAGGTGTTAACAAGCTCCAGAGTGGTCTCTGTTCATGCGGTTGTTCGGTAAACGAACCATATAGTCCTAATTGCACGAACAGAGACTGTTAAAAGGATATTAGCCAGTTTTATTGCAGGGGCCATAGTCGCAGGGTAGGAGGCTGGCAAACAGGCCCCTCCAAAAACCAGTGTCGAGCTCACTTTCACCACACTCAACAAATAGAATTCTAGGATATGAATTAGACACATAGAAAAGGTAGGTTGTGGTCAACATGATAAAACAAATCATGCAAAGTGTGTATTACAATAGAGGAGCCGAATGTAGTTGGATCATGATGTTAGCATGAGACTTTTAATCATGAGCCCAAGCCATGAATGACAAAATGATAGGTACAGCTTAAATATCACAGTATCCCAGAAATAGACAATAATATTGCCCTTGTTAGCTGTCTTATGCAGCTGATTTCACCCAATCGGAGCTTCAAGGTTCAAGTCCTGAGACAGATTGTTATCGCTCTACTGAGTAGCACTCATCTTCCCTTGCCATTAAATGGTTCATGTACAAAGAAACTCAAGGCTTTGAGAAAAAAAGACAAGCAAGGTCATATCCGGGGCATCTTGAACCCAGTCACCCCAAATAATAGTAGACTAGATATACATTTATAAGACATAGAGTACCACAGTGCTGTTTGCATTCAATGAAAATAGGTCAATAGCATTACTAAATATGTTTCCATAGAAGAAACACAGAAAGAGTATAGTAATATAGTTTAATGCAGTGAAACCTACAATATTACCTTAAACTCCAGTGTCAGCCTAAAATTCTTGAGTACTCTGATGCTAATGTCATGTTACCTGCTCATCATTTATTACTAAACATTATTCTGGTTCTTATTGCAGCGAGGAGCCGAGGTAAATCTTGTTCCCTGGAATCATGACTTTTCAAAAATGGAGTATGATGGACTTTTTATCACGAGTGGACCTGGAAACCCAGAACTGGCACAGCCACTTATACAAAACCTCAGGAAGGTAAGAGTGGTCATGGTCTTTAGTCTTGTGAATTATAAAAGCTCATGACACAGATTGAATTGACTGGCCAAGTAGAAGTTAGGAACCTAAACCGATAACGGATGATGAGTACTGAGCTGTCTTTCTAATCATCAGGTCTTCAAGAGTGATCGCCCTGAGCCAGTATTTGGCGTTTGCATGGGGAATGAAATTGCCGCTCTTGCAGCTGGTGCCAAAACGTACAGGCTTCCCATGGCTAACAGGTATTGTAGGGCATATGCCAACTCATAGTACATGTAGTGAAACATACATCTTAATCTTATTAGACAATATAGGAATGTAACAACATTTGAGGCCATGAGTAAAAATCATATACACATTGTAGTGATACTATTCTGATTTTATAGTTTAGATTAGATACTCTGTGTCTCCGTGGTATAGGCTAGATAGTATAAAGTTTAATTTCAATAAAGTTTCCTTAGGTCATAACAGTCTAATGAAAAGTTAACCACCTGTGTGCCGGAGGAATTAAATATCGCAAGAGATAAAACATAAAAAAACATAATATTCTTGTATAACATAACCGTTAATTTAAATAACTTCATTTTTTTCAATGGGTTTTCCATTAAATTAAATGATTTTAGAGTGCAGTGACTTCCAGCAAGTAACAGTAAGTTTCGAATTAAGTTAAAAAAATTTAGGTCGATATCTATTTTTCGATGTGGATAATCTGGCTCTAATTTTCCTTTTCTCCATAACTCCTTATACATATATAGAAAAGTAATGCCGTTAAGGAGCTCTAGAGACATCATTTTAAACCATGAGATTGAAGGTTGGGTTTAGAGTTTATTTATGCCTGTGTGCTATACGTTGTGGTGTTTATACAGATTATCATACGTGTTCATGGGTGATTTGTAAACCTCTTGTTACAGAGGACAGAATCAGCCTGTTATGAACACAATGAACGGGCAGGCCTTCATCACTGCACAGAACCATGCCTATGGTGTAGACAGCAACTCTCTGCCTGCAGGTTGGAAACCACTGTTTGTGAACATCAATGATCAGAGCAATGAGGTAGGTATCTTAGGCTTCCTACAAGCGGTGCTCTACTGGCTGTTAGTTACATTTCTCATGATGTCTCCAGAGTGACATTTGAATGGAGAACATGCTGGTTTGTTGATTATATACACCCTTTAACCCCTTAAGGACACATGACATGTGTGACATGTCATGATTCCATTTTATTTCAGAAGTTTGGTCCTTAAGGGGTTAAAAAGAAACATATCAGGACATAAAATAAAAATGGCACGGTAGAACTAGCCAATAGAAATGTATTTAAGGGTTAATAGGGCACTACAGGATTGAAGTCATTCATTTAAATATATATAGACATACATATACATTATATCATCAGCTTGACCAATCAGGAGCATCTCATTCTGGTCTATGGATGATGAGCCAACACGCAGGTGTAACTCAGCAACATTTAAAGTGCAGAATCAACAATAGCTATTTAATTCTGTTTGCAGAGATTAGAACAATTATGGTTGTAAGCCTACACAATTGCGTACATCTGTATTTAAATTAATTATAAATCTTATAAAAAGGAGGATGTGACTAGTATATTTCTAAGCTCACTGTGCCCTGCCTCAGTTCTCCTCAGTATAGGGGTTTCTAGGACTTGTAGCACAGTAATCTGCTTTCTACTTCTGCTTCTTTAAAATCAGAAGCAGGACATCATTGTGCAGCAGTAGGAGAAAGCGAGTCTGATCACTTCCTCTCTTCTCCCCCTGTCTGGATGTTTCAAGGTGAAGAGGTCTTCAAACATCACATATGGAAATCTGTCAGGCATGCCCAATGCACTTTTCCAGCATTCCTAGGGATAGGATATTGATTAGTTAGATCAGTGTTCCCCTTGGAGTGGGTGTGGAAAGCATAAGATGCAGGTAAATATGTCTGCAGAGTGAGGCAACCTTCTCATTCAAAGATAAAGCTTTTAAATTAGAAAAAGTTATCTCAAAGTGATGCTTATTCCTTTAAGTATAATATGTAATCTGCATACTAAACAGCTATTCCATAACATAAAACACATAGTTACATAGTTACATAGCTGAAAAGAGACTTGCGTCCATCAAGTTCAGCCTTCTTCACATTTGTTTTTTGATGTTGATCCAAAAGAAGGCAAAAAAGTTTTTTTTTTTTAAGCATTCACAATTTTGCAACAAACTAGGACAAAAATTCCTTTTTGACCCCAGAATGGCAGTCAGATTTATCCTTGGATCAAGAAGCTATTACCCTACATTGAAAAATTATATCCTTGAATATTCTGTTTTTGCAAGTATGCATTTAGTTGCTGTTTGAACATCTGTATGGACTCTAATAAAACCACTTCTTCATGCAGAAAATTACACATCCTTATTGTTCTTACAGTAAAAAAACCTTTTCTTTGCCTTAGACATAGCACATATTACCAAACTTCAGTGAAGGATATGTTCAATATGTATATATGTTGGCAATTTCTCGACCATGGTGTAGTAGACATGTGCAATTCGTTTCGTTCCGAATGTACATTTGTACGAATTTCATGCCGTTCGGACATGCAGATCATTACGAATGTCTGAAGTGCCAAGGTTCTGAAGTTTCATAGTTCCGAAGTGAAGAAGTTCGGTAGTTTGGAAGTGCCGAAGCTCCAAAGTGCCAAAGTGATTCGGATTTCTAAAAATGCAAAACAAGAGAGTTTGAGGGAAAATTACGTGAATGATGACAGGAATCTTGATCAATAAGCTAATTCTTTTGGTCTTTTAAGGTGCTTTAGATGATGGGGTCTCTTCTCTGTTTATAGTAGTCCTGTTTGTCTCGTGATATAGAAGACACAAGATAAAAGACCAATCATATAGAGTGTAAGGGTCAATATATGTGAGATAAAGATATAAATATTCCACTCACATTTAGATGAGCTATAGCCAGCTCAGGTATAACAGGCGTACAGCGGAACAATCCCCGCTTATGGGATATATGGAGGGAATGATGTCGAACTAAGTGTAGTACAGGCCAACTGCACTCTGGTAACAGCGTTGGTGGTATGATCCCCACCTCGGATGAGCTTGTAAGCACGTAGTAAAATCAATTAAATGCCAGGAAAAAAATAAATAAATAAAATAGTGTGTAAAAAGATAGTTGGCACAGATAACATTGTTATCCCATTTTGAAAAAGCCCTAGTGGCGAAACGCGTAAATGGTTTTATAAATTGTGTATTTTATATAATTTTTGGCTAATATCTGTGCCAACTATCTTTTTATACACTATTTTATTTTTTTTTAATTTTTTTTTTTGGCATTTAATTGATTTTACTACGTGCTTACAAGCTCATCCGAGGTGGGGATCATACCACCAACGCTGTTACCAGAGTGCAGTTGGCCTGCACTACACTTAGTTGGACTTCATTCCCCCCGGAGGACAATCATCCATATATCCCATAAGCGGGGATTGTTCCGCTGTACGCCTGTTGTACCTGAGCTGGCTATAGCTCATCTAAATGTGAGTGGAATATTTATATCTGTATCTCACATATATTGACCCTTACACTCTATACGATTGGTCTTTTATCTTGTGTCTTCTATATCACGAGACCAACAGGACTACTATAAACAGAGAAAAGACCCCATCATCTAAAGCACCTTAAAATACATTTATTGCCACAGTGCAACTTCTAAAATCTTTTTGGACTATTTTATAACTTTTATAAGTTTTATTTATATGTCCTTTTACTATTTGTCTTTTTACTACTTTTAGTCCTCATTGATAAATTTTGGCGCAGCCTTGCATTACTGTTGTTGTTTCTCATTCTTACCATAGAGGGTGCCTATCCACCTTGTTATTATTAGCACTAACCTCCTTTCTTGTTAATTCCTTTGTGCAATGTAATACTTGCTTGCCCAATCCGGTTTCACTATTCCCTGTCCAATGAAATTAGCACATTTTTGTGATTGATGTTAGAGGACAGCCAATTAATGTGAAGTTTTTGTCACTGACACTTGGCCAATGAAGGCACACAGAGTCATTGCGGTGGCATAGTATATAAATCAGACTGTTAGGGCGTTGGCTTGCATTCATGTGACCAGACTAGTTGTGATAGCACAAGAAACTGAGAGAGATAAATTACATTACATTTATTGTACTTTACTTGTTGCAAACTTGCAGAACCACATTGCTTTTAAGTGTGTGTTTCAAAGAGAGAGAGAAAGAGTGAGTTTTGCCTTTTTTCTTCTTCTGCATTTTGTTTATTTTTTTTGAAGGGGGAGTGGGGGTGAGAGAGTGTGTGGCTGTGCAAGCCAGGTCATCTGATTGCCAGGGTGTCAATCTGCTGCACTGTGACTTTGCAACAGTGATTAATTTTGTGTTTTTTTAGTTTTCTGTGATTTAATTTAAATAAAAATTTAATTAAAAAAATTGAAACCATAATGGATTATCCACCTCCTTCTCACATTCTCCCCTCAAGCAAAGTGACTGAGGAAACTGTTAGCCGTCATGTCGCTGCTGTTAGTACCACTACTAGCTTCTCCATCAGTACTAGTGTTAAGAGGCAGAGCACAGGTAGTGGTACATTTGTTTCCTCTTCAACTCACCTGAAGCAGAGGCAAATAAAACAGCAGGCGCTGCTAGTGCCACCACCCTCCTGGCCTCTATAATGCCTATCTTCCCTCCCTGGGCAAATCTCCCACAACTACCCCACTACTACCACCACCACAACTCTCCCTGGGGGACCCTACACTACTCTTTCTACCAAACATCACTTGCTCTCACTTTACTCTCTCTCTCACACACACTCTCACATGCTTGTTCACACACAAATTGCTTTCTCTCTGTTCTCACACTCTGATCACTCTCTGCTCACTCTTTGCACACTCTGCTCATAAACCCTCCACACAGATGGTGTCACAGGGGTGGGATTATATAGTGTGCAGAAGTGTTACATGCTGGTAGTGCTTCCTGATTGGCTGCACTATCTGTGCAGTGAAAATATCATTTTGTAAATTGTATATATACTAAACTGACACTACTAATTATTAACTAAACCTAGACCACTTCTTTAAGATTAAGTGGTCTAGGCCCTGCTGTGGTCCACTATGCAATGTAAAATATTGCTGTTTAAGAAAAAAAACACACAAATGTTTATTTTTCAAAACGTACGACATTCCAAACTGCTGAATGCCCGAAATGAATGCCCGAATGCCACGTGCCCAAATGCGGAATATCCGAACCGAATGCCATTCGTCAGTTTGGAAGTGCTGAACTGAACCGAATGCCATTGGTCCGAATTGCCGAATCAGACACATTTTTTTACTTACCCGAATTTCCGAACCGAACCGATTTCTTTGCCCATGCACATCGCTAGTGTGTAGAGTATGATTTTCCAAAGCAGGACCATATCATCTTTTTTTTTCGAGTCGAGAATATAATTATATATGAAATAATTAAGTTTAATATATAATAAATAGTGGATATCAGCAGGCCACATGCATATGTGGTTATTTTTCACCTACATTTACTGATTTATTGAGGTATTTATACACCTAGGACCTTTCTGGAATAGGTGTTCACTAGAGAATTTATGTATTGGCACCTTCCATGCATTTCAGATCTAAATATATTAAATCACTCCTGACCAGATCTGATCAAAACCCAGCCAAATCACTGATTGCCACCCACTTGACCAGGGCTAGGCAGCCTTTGACACTCCAGATGTTGTGGACTACATCTCTCATAATGCTCTTAGAGCCATAATGCTGGCAAAGCATCAGGGGAGACATAATAAAAAACACATGGCGTGCCAAGGGTTGCCAGCTAGACAATATGCCACTCACCCTCCATGATTATTTAATAATCAATGGGAAGGGGAGTCTTGATTCCCAAGATATGGGCATGACAATACTGCATATTTAAATGTATACAACACAAAATAGGGTATTTATGTTGGATTAGCATTAAGATTGAAGATCTCGATATGTCTTTCTTCCAACAGGGAATAATGCATGAGACCAAACCCATCTTTACAGCACAATTTCACCCAGAAGCCAGCCCTGGACCTACTGACACAGAGGTACAATTATAGCTCTATGGTGAAAATGTGGGAAATTCTTGTAGTATTGTGGCAGTTACTATAGCAAAAAAAACATAAAGTACCTTTTTCTATCCTAATTTTAGATTTTGTAATGTATTTTTAAACTACAATAAATGTGTTTAGAAATTAGTTTGTGTGAATAAGATATATTGTTCTTATTACATTTTAGTTGCCTAAATTTTATTAGTAAGTCACTTAATATTTCTCAGAACAGTACCCTCACAATCCTAAAATAAAGTGTCCCTCTTTGTCCTTCAAAATGTTGCGATTTCTGCAGATATAGAAGTCAACTAATGTGTTAAATATAGATCTCTCAAACTTCCTGTTTGTCTGCATCTGGGAATTTAATAAATATACTTATTGACTACACAATTCCTGTATTTGAAATTACAATAACAATTTTTACAATTTTTTTTTAAATTTCAGTTCCTTTTTGATGTTTTCATGTCAATGATAAAGAAGGGCAAAGGCACCTCCCTTGCTTCAGTAATGCCAAAACCAGCCCTAGAGTCCAAAAGGATTGAAGTAAGTAGAACATTATAAGCTGAAGAAATGAGAATAACCCAAACATTTTTCTCCACGATTTTTCGGCAAATCACCAAATCTATTTCCTTTTTTATTTATTAATTCTTACATGATCTAAACAAACCAGTGAATAAAAAACATAGTAAATAATGCACACATTTAGTTATTAAAACTCTGAATTATATTTGATTTTAGCATATTTTTTATATATATACAACACATTTTACATTTTAGTAAATTACATTTTTTTAATTCCAATGTCTAGGACAAGCCTTTATGCGCTCTTGTTCATGTTTTTTTATATCGTTATTCTTTAAAGGTATCCAAGGTTCTCATTTTGGGCTCTGGAGGTCTTTCCATTGGACAGGCAGGAGAATTTGACTATTCTGGATCCCAAGCTGTGAAGGCTATGAAGGTCAGTCAAGAGATTTAGGATATTATTTTGTGTGTGGGAGAGAAATATTTTACATTAAAAAATCCAGAAGAAAAATGGGAAAAAATATTTAAAAAATTGGTCTACCAAAAATGAAGGAGACCTAAACAATCATGAAAAAGGAATCCCTAACAAAGGGCCTTACCCAAATAGTAATAACAGAAAACATCATAGAAAAAAGTCCTCTACAATAGGAGTACCAGACAGGAATCCCTAACATTAAAATGTATAAAAGCACCAATCCATTATTTAATTTATGGAAGATTGAACATATTATCATGTGTATATGTGAAACTCCACAATTGCTAATAGGTAGAAAAAGACAAGATAGAAATTGAACACACCAAAATATCCCAATAAACAATAGACGTTGATAGTTTATTACATTATTGGTATGGTGAAACAAATATCACATTCACATTACTTGGTGAACCACCATCACAAAAAAATTAAATAAAAACAATTATGGTATAAGTAAGCACGAAAATAAGATTTTTTTTTATCTCAATTGAAACATAAGGTAGACTACGATTATCTGGACTGGAGATGCCACTGGGAAATAGGAGAAAAGGTTGATACTATGTGTATAAAATGAAACACTGTATCAGTAAAACTCCTTCAAGATAAGAATCAGAATAATAAAAAAATCCCTACACAGATAGAAAGGACAGGGCCTGTGTTACTGCCAGCTAGATAGAAAAGAAATGGTGGTAGAATCTGTGTAGTCTGGAAAGTTGATATACTGCTAGCACTGCAGATATTTAATCAGTTACTACACACCCAAGACACCTCCGAGCCCAGGTGACGTTTAACCAGGGCTGCTACACAACGCTAAATCAATTGTCACCCAAAACCAAATGAAAACACCCATCAATCAGTGCCCATTAAAAAAAACAAAAAAGAGAGAGAAAGCCAAGGCACGATGTGTATTTCAGCGCTCAACATGGACTTTCATCTGGGGCTAAAACAATCTTGTCACCTGAAAATATCTCTGTAGACATCAGTATAAAATTATATTCTCACTGAATTATTATTTTTATTCATCTATCTAAAGAACGTTTAAATGACACCATTATTCCAGTCGATGGCAGTTTTTCAGTGCAAGTGAACATTTTGAATTGTTTTGTAATATTCAAACTCTCTTTAATTCGTGTTCAGCTGCTCTGAGGCTGTTCAAGTTTGAAGAATGCATGCACAGCTGGACAATCTAATACCTTATCAACATTAAATATAAGTTGGATTTAAAGTGCTATATGAAAAAATGTCACATATAGCTCATACTATATATTTATATTTTCTATTTCCACTTGTCTGTATCCGCCATGGATGATAGGATGGCCATGTATGGTGTAGATTTAATAAAATATATATATTCAATTTTTCCACTTCTTTTTGCCACTACTTAGGAAGAAAATGTAAAGACAGTTCTCATGAACCCAAACATTGCTTCAGTCCAGACTAACGAGGTTGGCATTAAGCAGGCAGATACAGTGTACTTTCTGCCCATCACACCGCAGTTTGTCACTGAGGTCATCAAGACAGAACGACCAGATGGAATCATCCTGGGTATGGGCGGTCAGACTGCCCTGAACTGCGGTAAGTACACCTGCATTTATCTGAGATTTACCACCAGAAAAATACACTATATAGTGTAATAACTGCCATACGATAAAATAGATTTTCTACTTTAGCTAAACTGCCAATCCATTGATAAATCTAACATAAATGCTTTATATGTACTGCTGTTTTCTATCAAGAGAACCTATATCACATCGAGACCCTAATGGATCAGTCAGTCTGTCTATTTATCTCTTACTTCAAATAATGCATTTTATAATCTTATAAACATTTTATATGTATTATAACATTTCCTGTAGAATCTGTAAGAACTTGATTTCAATGTATTTCCTTTAACTATCTAGCAATATGAATAATTGTCTTTTCTATCAAGTCAATACATAATAGATCATTAAGACCCTAATGGGTCTGTTGTTTGGCCCGCCCGTCCGTCCATCCTCCATTTGTCTGTCTTTTTATCTATCTATCTATCTATCTATCTATCTATCTATCTATTTTACTATAATGCATATTATAATCACATGAAATGTTATATGTATTAAATTTTCTGTAGAATCTATAAGAATTCTATTTAAATTAATCTCCTTTTTCCTATCTAGTGATATGAATAATTAATTATAATTATTTTGTATGTATCTATTGTCTCATTATTTTGCATATGAAATAGGTGTGGAGCTGTTCAAACGGGGGGTGCTGAAAGAATATGGAGTGCGAGTTCTTGGGACCTCTGTTGAATCCATCATGTTCACTGAAGACCGGCAGCTTTTCTCTGACAAACTAATGGAGATTAATGAACCTATCGCTCCTAGCTTTGCCGTGGAAACGGTAACCTTGTTTCTTAGGGTTCTTGAAAGGGCAGCAATTACAGTTATTATTATAACGATGATGATTATATGTACAGAGATATGGATTCAATTCCAAAGTGCTTCCCAGTATAACTGTAAAAAAATCATGTTTATAATACTGATCAGCATGCAGGGCACTTTCTTAAATGTTTATTAATTGTATACTTGGTGTACAAACAGCTTTTCATTACACACAAATTGACTGCAAATAATAATTACTAAGCAAGATCGTTTGCCATTTTCATTAGTCATTTTGATATTATGAACAACCTGAGTCTATACCATGAATTAAACACAGCTCCGAGAAACCTCCAGATTTCTCTAGAGAGCCTGCCTACCTATCTCTTCCAGCTTTTGTGATTTATAATTTCAATAAAACCAAATATTTAATTATGATTACAATTCAGCAAAGTGTTGAATGGCCAGAGTCTGCCACTGATTTGAAGGATTAGTATATACGTAACCAGGGGACGATCTGACTGTACATTTAAAAAATAACAGCTCATTTTCTACTTGTAGGTAAAAGATGCTTTGGAGTCGGCTGATAAAATAGGCTACCCTGTCATGATTCGATCTGCTTATGCCCTGGGTGGCTTGGGGTCAGGGCTGTGTCCAGATAAGGAGACTCTCACTGATTTGGCAACAAAGGTAAAAAGACTGAGCCTTTCAAGGCAGGAAGAATTAACTGACAAGTGTTCCATTCAGTACAACTTATGCATTCTGTGTGATGATTTAATAGACAAAATGTACTCCTACTGACTGCAGATGTTGAAACAGAAAATAGAATGGATAGTAACTGAAAACTAAAATATGATTAAGTGTAGCAGATGAAATAACATAAAAAAAATCAGTACAATAGTGTTTCAGTTTTAGAAATGATAACAATTTAAAGAAGATTTGTCAATTTTGGGGGTCTTCGCTTTACTTTGCAAAGACTCCCAAAGCGGACAGATCTGGTATGAGTCTGATGGCCGTGGCGGGAAAGGGAGATGAGTTTTACATGCCTCAGGCTGTTCCTCACAGCCGCCACCATCTTCAGCTCCTCTTTGGCTCCTGGCATTTTAATTGCCAGGATCGATGTCAGTGCTTTACTGTCCATGAAAACACTCATGTGCAAGACAACACTGAGATCAATGGTGGATCCCAAGAGATCCCCCAGAGACTAAATCCCACAGCCGTCATTTGTAGGGGCTGCTAGAATGTAACAAAATTTGATGGCGGAGCTCCATCTTTGTCAACTTTGTTCAGCCTTTGGCTTTACCAGAAGACAAAATAATCTTTGTCTTATAGTATCTTGGGATTGCGTCATAATTTCAGTGAATTTCCAGTGCAGTCTTAATCAGCATTTTCTCAAGATTTTACCTTTATGAAATACTGAAAAGTTCTGTTCTGCTTTAAAAATGGAAATTGTAAATGATTACGTATTTGCTGTTGAAAAACAGGACTAATCTTGAACTGATCATTGCAAAGTTTCTGAAGCTACACAGAATGCAAGTATAGTAGGCTATATGGATAAAGACCAAAATGCTAAACATAGAGTCAGACTATTATAAACCACAATAAATGTGCACTTTATTGTGCTATGTGTATAGGAACACTGTTATGGATTGTTGCTAAATTCATCTTTGTAAGAACTCATGCCGGGATCATTCCATATTACAGGGACAGCAATGTACCTTTATGGCAAGGAAACATACAGCATCTCATGTTAACCTTTATTCACCAAGAATTCTAGCATCTGTATAGAAATACCAAACTCATCCTCAAACACTTTCATATGTGTCTTCTCAAGGCTCTAGCAATGACCAACCAGATTCTGGTGGAACGTTCAGTTGTGGGTTGGAAGGAGATTGAGTATGAAGTAGTAAGAGATGCAGCTGATAACTGTGTCACTGTCTGCAACATGGAGAATGTGGATGCCATGGGTGTACACACAGGTATGTGGGGTGTCAAAATGTAAATTCAAAGATTTGTATGTCTTTGTCAAGGATAAGTAATCTAATTACTTAATGCTTCAGGTTGTCTGTAGCTGCATGAGGGAAACATGATAATGGAGATCAAATTAAGAGTCAATGAATACACATAGCATAACATTAATAATTTAATTATCACACACGTGTCTTTGTCTATCATTTGTGTCTTTTCTCCTTAGACAAAGTGACACTCTAAGTACCAAAATAACTTTAACTTGATAAAGGATTGTTTTGGTGTATAGATCATGTCCCGGCAGTTTTATTGTTTGATTCTCTGCTATTCATGAGTCCACTGCCCAAATACAGAAATAAATAAATAAATAAATAATCACTGTTTAGTAGATATACCCCAACAAACTAGGCATGCATTTAATTATGCATTTTTTTCATTGGGTTTATATCTAATAGTAGCTAGCAAAAGCTGCAGATTCCCTGCTAAAACTGCCCAGACTCTCTGTGACTGTCCAATCATAGATTTTCCAATGCTGTTCAATAAGAAGTCTTTGCAAGGCAGTTGCTATGGGTAATTACTGCCTCTTGAATTTAGTTCCAGTGCGCTAAACAACCAGGAAGTAAAAAGACCTGTTGTCTGATTGACAGCCAGGGTGGGTGTAACAAGGTTAATTTATAAAAGTGTAAATTTCAAAATCTACACTTTAAAAAAAATAAATTATATATATATTTTTGTTGTGCATCGGTTTACAAGCTGGCTTGCAGAGCCACGACAGCTATAGCAAGCATGGCATTATACATAGTAATACAATTGCATGGCATACTGTTTAGGCACCACATTTATATTTTAGTGCTGTAAGGGTGAAGTCCCAGGGATTAGAGTAGGAGACCTACACCGGAATACAATTATGAATGGAACCCCGTGGGAGCTAGAGTGTCGATTGCGTAATAGGTATGAAAAATACTTTGAAATACAAGTAAAAACAGACTAATATAGGGTAGATTAAATGTTCCAGCTCAGAGATATCAGGAAACTGACAGGGATCCAATACGCAGAGTGCGCACAGAAGGAGGTACGTATACCGGACCTTAGAATGGCCGGACTAACGTAAGGACAAAGCAAGAATAGTCAAAAGGTAAGCCGAGGTCAAGGGAGCCGGAGGACAGGTAAGCGAGATACAAGCCGAGTCAAAGGAGAGGAGAGGACAACAGGACAAAAGACAAGCAAGGGTCAAAACCGGAAACACAAGATAAAGAACGCGCTGAGTGACTAGCAAGCTAGAACCACGACAGGGCAATGAGCAGTAGTAAAGGTTTCCTTTAAATACCCTGTTACCTAAATAGAGACCACGCCCCCAAAAGGTCCGGAATAGCGGTTCCCGGCACTTTATGCAAATGCCGACGTCATGACGTCGACGCTAGCCGTCGCGTCATAAAAGGGGGAGGAGCTAGCGCGGCCGGCGCGAAAACGGCCGGAATATGCCGAAATGCTAGGGGAAGGGAGCCCCTAAGCAGAGAGGATGTCCTCCCTGGATACATCACCAACAGGTACCCTGACAAGAGAGACATAAGTGGGTCATTGCATGTAATTTGTAATAAGCTGGGTAGCTGAGATATCTATGGGGAGGAAATTCACCCTATAGACCCCTGTATTTAATCATGGGTATAATCAGTTGGGTTGGCTCATCACGGAAACATAGATCAACGTTAGGAAATGCACATAACGAGTACAAGTGAAGCATGTAGACATTTATGCAGAGTGTTCTCATGGATCTCGGCTTAGCAAGTACCCTCTTTGGGCTTAGCGTGGTCTCGCTGCAAGCTGGCTGTCCGTGTGCATTGTGGTTTCATCACTGCTATCCAGGAGGTGCTGTAGGTTAAGCCAGGGAGAGGAAGCAATGTCTTGTGTTGGAAACTAGCTCCCCAGACTGACTTAAGGGTAGGTTTTCACGGGTAAATTTCTGATGGCAGCTTCTGTGCTGCGTACACTGGCCTGCTGTGCCTCCATCTCTTCCGCCTGATTCAGGCCTACCCCTGCACCGGAGCCAAGGCCCTGCGTTGAATCACCTTAGGTAAGTGTTAGACTGGGACTCTATGTTTTGTGCGCATAGCAGGCTGCTGCAGGTATCGAGCCAGCTTGTGCCAGAGATCCTCAATGAGTGCATTGAGTGAGGGGGGTACGTTGGCAGTCCCTCTGGCATAGGCAATTGGGCACATGACCTCCGCCATTTTAGTTAAAGATCCTAATCTGCAGATTGGTATGACATTATCATGGGGTCTTGGATGCGTATTAGTGATTGGTGCCACAATCTACACTTTTTGTAAGTTAAGAAACACACACACTTTCACTTCACGCACAGAGAACTTCAGTAAGCTTTAAGAGTCTGGAGCGTCCCTTTAAATCACATTGTTTATTCAGCCCTAGCTACACCTCCACTGTCTCCCTACACACTTTCTGTAATTTTAAAACGTATACAGTATGTTTATTTTAGAATTTCTTCTGTCCTGTTCTATTAATAGTGTGCTAGAGCCTGCAGGAGCCTCAAATGCTCATAAGTTCAATTAACAGAACAGGAGATAAGCTATTCTAAAGTAAACACACTGTGCGGTAAGACCTGGTTGAAAATGAAAAAAAATGTATGCTGGCTATGTGAGTCACAACTGGGGGAGATATGGCAAGGGATGCATGAACAGAGACAAAAGTGAGACTAAATAGCAGAGAATAGAACAGTAAGCATGATGCAGGTGCATGATCTATATGCCAAAACGAATTTGTTAAACTAAAGTTGCTTTGATGCTTAGAGTTAACATAGAACTCTTTCTTTTATCTTTGATGTAGCCTCCCATTTGGAGCAATATGGTATCTAGGGATAATGCAGCCCTCTCACCCAACAACACAGCAAATATCACTGTTGATGTAAATCATGACATCATATTGTATCTCTTGATTCACAGGTGACTCTATTGTGGTGGCTCCCTGTCAGACACTGTCCAACGAGGAAGCTCAGATGTTGAGGGCCTGTTCCATCAAGGTTGTGAGACACTTGGGAATTGTTGGAGAATGCAATATACAGTTTGCCCTGCATCCAACATCGCTGGAGTATGTCATCATTGAAGTTAATGCCAGACTCTCTCGCAGCTCTGCTTTGGCCTCCAAGGCCACTGGGTAAGATTACAATTAAGATGGAGCTACATTTATTAAATGTTTTGCCCCTATTAACTGAAAATAATGAGAATGCGGTATAAATGCTACACTTGCGCACAGTGGAGAATTTTGTGTCGGCCAAATCGATTCATCTAAAAAAATTTGGGTTGACCGAAATTTGACCATGTGGAGTTTTGGTGCAGACAAACTTAATCCATGCAATCTTTTTGGGAACAACAATTTAGATCAGGGCTGCCCAACAGGTAGATCCTCGGATGTTGCGTAACTACAACTCCCACGATGCTCTGCATGCCTTTAGAATGCATTTAGAATGACAAAGCATCATGGGAGTTGTAGTTCTACAACATCTAGGGATCTACCTGTTGGGCAGCCCTGATTTAGGCGGGTTTGTGTCAAACAGTGCACTGCAATATATTTGAATAATATAAATATAAGGTTCATTTATTTGGCACATGGTTCATAGATCAAGTGAGAAGAAGTAACAAATAAAATGGAAAAAAGGAGGGGCAATAAAAACCCAACTATATTGATACATTATATATTCATTCAGTATATAATATATAACTGTAGATTTTTCTACTCCTGCTTTTTTTTCTCCTCTGTTGGTTACTTCTCACATAAATAAAATATATAAAAACATTTGGTGACTGTCCTGTAACCATTAATAATCATTTTTTCTCATCAATCATATCTTTGTTTTGTGTCAATTGTGAAATGCCGAATCACAAATCAAATTAAACTGCTCGTCCATTGGCCGTATTTTTTTTATGATATCTCCATATGGCGATTCAGAATTGCAGGATTTGTATGACTTTCCCAAAATTTGGACACATTGCAATTCTTTTTAAACTGCAAAGATCTAGTAAATTTGCACATAGAACTGTGGTAACATCTTTTCTATTTATAGGTATCCACTGGCTTTCATTGCTGCCAAAATTGCACTGGGTATCCCACTACCTGAAATCAAGAATGTTGTATCGGGGAAGACCACAGCCTGTTTTGAGCCTAGTTTGGATTACATGGTGACCAAGATACCACGATGGGATCTTGACCGTTTCCATGGAGCTTCAGGATTGATTGGTAGCTCTATGAAGAGTGTTGGAGAGGTATGAAGAGCTATATTATTGGTCTCATCACAGTAATGCTGACTTTATGCAAAGAATAATAAATCCAGGATATATAACAATGAACCGTGTATAACGGATTGCTATCAAGGGGTTGTGAAGACCGTAATATCTGTTACTCATTTTAAGCTGCATATGATGCAGGTATTTTTAAGTTCAATGTCTGATCATCTGTTCTATGATAACAAAAAAACGTACTTGTCGTGTTGCCCCTGTGCAGGTTATGGCCATTGGTCGTACATTCGAGGAGAGTTTCCAGAAAGCTTTAAGGATGTGTCACCCCTCCGTGGATGGCTTCACCTCAAACCTTCCAATGAACAAGGCATGGGCATCTGATGTGAACCTAAGGAAAGAAATGGCGGAGCCCACTAGCACCCGAGTCTACAGCATGGCCAAGGTAACATCTGAGAGGTCAATCAAGGGACATCGCAAAATATTAAAAAAATAAAAATATCGGGTTTATAAAACCAAGTGAATATTTACTAAGAGGCAGTTACAGTTATTCTAAGTGATTTGTTTATGTTAACTGTTGTTACGAAATATAGAATTGAAAAACTGATTGCTTTTGGTGGACAATATGTATCAGTTTATGTTTATATGAATATTATAGGTAAATGTGTATATTACCATAGCAGTACCTCTCTGCAAGTCCTACACGTTCCAAGAGGAGGAACCATCCAGTGATTGGAGGTACACACTGTGTCAACAAGTTGAGGTTTTGGTGCATATGTGATCCTAGAGTTGAAAGGAGTCTTTAAATTGTGAAAATAAATACTCTTTAAAAATATATATAACAATATTTCTATTGAAAAGTGTATGTGAAGCCTGACCTGGGATTTACATGCTATATTATAATTAAAAGATACATTAGACAATCAGAGGACCATAAATACCATAATTCATCAAATATAAATAAATGCTTTTAGAATGCATGGAGAAACATACCTTTTCCAAGACAGTTCAGTAAATAGGTAGTTACTGATTGACTGAGAGCTTGAGGTGACCGCTCTCAGCCAATCAGTAGCGATCCTGCCAGGTGGCACTTCGCACTTTCTGTAAGTGAAAATTCAAAAGCTGAATGCTACCCGGGGGAAGTAGACATCGCCGCTAGAGGCAATTGTGATGTTAAAGCGTTCTAGAATGGTTTAACAACTTGAGGTAAAAGTGTCTCCAGGTGCCTCCTGGAACCATAACAACTTCATGTAGATGAAGTTGTGTTGGTGCCTAGAGTGTCCCTTTTAGGATGTTTAGCACTCAGGTGGTAGACTAATTATAAAATAACTTAGCATACATTGTATTGTCCTATAAAGTGACCTTAAGTGTGACTGTGTTACCAAATTTAATTTATTCCAACTAAACATTCTGCTTGATGTCAGGGCCTTGAGACTGGAATCCCTATTGATGAGATCTACAACCTCACAGCCATTGATAAGTGGTTTCTGTACAAGATGCAAGGAATTCTGAACATGGAGCAGACTCTCAGATCGAGCAGGAGGTAAGAACCATTGACCAACGTTGTTGGAGGAATTTATAATGTGCTCATTCTACTGTTTCCAGCCTTACAGGTGATTTAAAAAAAAAAAAATTGCTCAAGGGTTATAAGTTTAGAGAGACACACCAAGCACCATAATCACTACAGTTCATTGCAAAGCTTCTGGCACAAGGACCATATAGATGGAGTTCTGCTGTTGTCTTAGAATGTCTGCATAAATTCTCCTCAGCTAAATGGAATTTCAATATGCCTGTATCCAGCATACAAATGCAGATATTTTTGATTAATACCGAGGAAGGTCACAATTCTTTATATAACATTCCAAGCTTGGTGAGTGGCCCCAGGAATACTCAATTGTATGTCAAACTGCCAAAAAAACTACAAGACTCCAATGATTGTGTTCTTGAACCATAACCTAATACAATTCATTGTGCTTGGTGCTCCCCATATATACCATATTCTCCTGGTGGAAATAAAACAATTGAAAATGATCAATTCGTCAAGGAAAGGTGATGGAAAGTATGCAGGAACTCAGATAAGATATGTGCACTCATTGAAGCAATGTGCCAGATACTGCAACTTCTTCTGCTCTCTACACCCAGCTTAGACACTATATTCCCACTGTGCTACTTAATGTAACTGAGCAGAATTCTTTATGAGTTCTACAATATGGAGAATGTATCTCATTTTGGAATATAATAATAATAATTTCATGAGAAAGAGCAATATGGCAGAATGAAGAATTTGGGGAGTGACTCACACAACCTCCCTGAAAAAAGTTTCATTTTAAAATCAGATCTTACAGTACAGTGTGTTTACGTTAGACCTTCTTATCCAAGTTATTTGAACTTTAATCGTAGACATGAGGCTGCTTTAGGCTCTAGCATGCAAGTAACAGAGTGGAAGATATGAAATTCCAAACTAAACACACTGTGGAATAGGGGAAGCTAAAAAATCTAGTTTTTTTTTCCAGATAATGTGTAGGGAGGCTGTATGAGTCACAGCCTGGGGAGCTGTGGCTAGGGCTGCATCAAATATATTTAACTCCTACATAGTACTAAATTGAGCAGTGAGACTGTAGACAATCTATACACCAAAACAATTGTATTAAGCTGAAGTTGTTTTGGTTCTTAACGTGTCCCTTTAACATATGTATTTTAAGAAAATAATGTACAACAAGTTTATATATATTGCCTGCAATATTTTATATTCAGTAAAATAATGCAAAATTATTGTTTCCGTTAAAATGTGGATAAATAAATTAATTGAAAGAAGGTAGACAGGTGTGAATGCCCATACTGTTGTATTAGTTGGACCTCAGTGAATCTGAGCTTCCAAAGACCGGCCAATAAACAAAGTGGGATAACTAAGAAAATATTATGCTTTTGTTTGTAGACCTGCCGAGAAAAGGCTATTGCAACCCTAAATATTGACTTAATTGAGTTTTTATTCATCCCTCTGCCAAAGCAATTCCAAGAGCTTCTGACAGAGTGCTGTAGCATTGCACAGAAATCTGGGCTTAAGAATATTAAAAAAGAGGCAGGCCTCCAAGAACGTAATGCTCTTAAAATAAGCTGGTTTTATATTTGTTAGTGTGAGACTGAGATTCTGAATAAGCAGATGTATGGACAGGTGGCTGAGATTCTGAAATGTGGATGGCGAACAAATTCTCTTGCACTGATTTACTGCAAGAGTGCAAATAATTCACTTAACCTCATCAGCATTTGGCAGAGAGTAAGATTAATATTGGCCAGACAGATAAAGAATTTAAATAAACAGACAACGCAGAAATCTAGCCATTTAAATTAGTTGATGTTGTAATTGTGGTTAGCGTGTTATAATAACTTATTACGTTGGAATTTTAGGTGTCATAGTGCAAACAAATATTTTCTTGCAGAACAATGTGTTAAAAAGCTCTTTCATTAACTAATGAGTCTTGTATTTGATATTTTAAATACTTAAAGGGACACTATAGTCAGGGCAGGCTAAAGACATTGTGCTGCCTGGATCCAAAGATGAAATGCTGCCCCCTCCGCCCCCTCCCCCCGCACCAAAAGCACGCCAACATCCATTATGTTATGCAGTGTGTGTAGTGAACGCAATGTCTGTTTGTGTAGTGGACGCAGTGTGTGTATAATGTATGCAGTCTGTTTAGTGAATGCATTATGTGTGTGTGTATGTGTGTGTGTGTCTGTGTCTAGTGGATGCAGTGCAAGTGTGTCATGAATGCTTTATGGTTTTGTGCTGTGGATGTAGTGTGTATTGTATGCAGTGTGTGTGTGTGTATGTATGCATTGTATGCAGTGTGTGTGTGTTGAGTACATTGTCTGTGTAGGTGGAAGTGGATGCATTGTCTGTGTTTGTGTAGTGTATGCAGTATTTGTGTGGTGGATGCAGTGTGTCTAGTGGATGCAATGTCTGTGTAGTGGATGTCGTGTCTGTGTAGCAGATGTAGTGTCTGTATGTGGATGTAGTGTCTGTATGTGGATCTAATGTCTATGTAGTGGATGTAGTGGCTGCATAGTGGATGTAGTGTCTGTGTAGTGGTGTCTGTGTAGTGCATGTAGTGTTGGATAAGTGCTGGGGGGTGAGAAGTTTAAGTTAAATCGGGCTTATCCCTCTCCTCCTTGCCTCTTACCTGTGGGCTGGAAGGCAGTACAGTATGTAGGAAGGTGACAGTATAGGGGGCAGTGTGTAGGAAGGTGACAGTTTAGAGTGACAGTATAGGGGGCAGTGTGTAGGAAAGTGACAGTATGGGGTACAGTGTGTAGGAAGACAGTGTGGGGCAGGCTGTGTGGGTGACAGTGTAGGGGGCAGACTGTGGGGAAGCAGGGTGTGGTGATGTAAGCTGTGGAGGACAGAGTGTGGGGGGACAGGCTGTGAGGGACAGGGCATGTGGGTGCATGCTGGGGGCATGGTGTGTGGGAGAAGGCTGTGGGGGACAAGGTGTGGAGGAGCAGGGTGTGGAAGGGGCAGGGTGTTGGGGACAGGGTGTAGGTTTGCATGCTGGGGCCTAGGGGTGTGGGAGAAGGCTGTGGGGTTGCAGGGTGTGGTGGGGGGCAGGCTGCGGAGGACAGGGTGTGGGGTAGCAGGGTGTGAGGGGGCAGGCTGTGGAGGGGCAGGGTGTTGGGGACAGGGTGTAGGTTTGCATGCTGGGGCCTAGGGGTGTGGGAGAAGGCTGTGGGGTAGCAGGGTGTGGGGGGGGGCACGCTACAGAGGACAGGGTGGGGGGTAGCAGGGTGTGAGGGGGCAGGCTGTGGAGGGACAGGGTGTGGAGGACCAGGCATAGGGGGGCAGACTGGGGGTAAGGGGTGTGGGAGAAGGCTGTGGGGTAGCAGGGTGTGGGGGCAGAGTGTGGGGGTGTATGCTTGTGGCAGGGTGTATGGGAAAAGGTTGTGGGGTGTGGAGGTTCTGACAATGCAGGCCCCTAATTAGCTCAATGGACTGTTGCTCCACGCTTGTGTTAGATATATAAAATAATGTTATGTAGAAACAAATGTTCAGACAGACATAGCTGCCCTACTCCAAAAATATTCAATCTAACTCTTATACATCCCGGACCTTTGACTACCCAGAAATTAAGAAATATATATCGTACCATGTTTAGTTGTTAAAAATCACCACTTAATTCAAGCTGTGATTCTGTGAAGCAGCCTAGCCTGTACTGAGAGGTCAACCACAGCTTAGGGACTTAGGGAATCCAATGCCTAGTGGTCCCTGAGATGTGAATTTGCAAATATTAGAAATCTGACAGCACAGCGTGTACAATACTCGTTCTCTCCATCCTCTCATCACTTTATTTTTTTTCTCCTCTCTCCATTTAAGATGATGATAATTTGTTCATAAATCTGTGGGTGTCTTTTAGTGTCTATAAAAAGCAGAGGGATAGATAACAGTAAATTTGTGTGACTGGCTGTATTTTATCTGCAGCGGCTTGCTGACTCCCGGTGCCCTTTCATACTTTATGAGGTTTTCTGATCCTCCCTTGTTAAGTTAGTGGCTGTTTCTCTTGCTGTGATGAATCCCGGCTTGATGGGATTTTTTTTTCTTTATTTTTCTTTCATTTCCTTTGTTTTATATGGCCACTAGAGAGCACTCTAGACTCAAGGAACATTATACCAATCCAAATATTTATCGTATTTGTGAAAGAACTGTGATCTCTATTCTCTATTTCACCCTAATCAATTGTCAATAAAAGTCAGATGAAAGATAAATAGTGTATATACATATATACACATATTATTTATTTATTGTGTACTTACTATGTGACTGATCATTATAAAACCATGGCTGGCAATGAATTATAGAGTTGTCATCCAACAACAATAACAACTGAGGGTGAATAACACATATTAAAACTTGCTCTACGTTATCCACAGATCAGTTTAGGCAAATTCTTAAATTTACAGAAACTAGAACGTTTAAAACATGCCAAACGTTTAACATGCCAAATAGGTTTCTCTGTCAATGCCCGTTATAAATACCAAATAAACTAGAAAGTAAACACTAAATAACAAAAAGTCTCCTATAGTTTATTGTTTTTAGTGTTAATTATTACAACATAAACTGAAATGATAATAATTTGACACAACACATTTCACAATTTTTTTTATATAAAAACGTATCCTTCCCCCTTTCATTTCCTTTCTTTTTTCCCTTCATTTTTTTAATTTCCTTCCTTACCATTCCTTCCCTCCCCACTCCCACTCAACAAATTTACATGACAATTGACACATGTTTTACAATTTGTTTTTGGAAAGATGCTTCCTTTGCTTCCTTTCCTCCTTTCCTTTCCTTTTTTCACTTTCTTTTATTTCCTCCATTTCCTTTTTCCTTTCTTTTCCTTTTTTCTTCATTTCCATCCTTCCTTCCTATCCATCATTTCTTCCTATCCATCCTTCTTTGCTTTTCATCCTTCCTTCATATCCATCCTTCCTTCCTATCCATGCTTCCTTCCTATCTATCCTTCCTTCCTATCCATCCTTCCTTCATATCCATCATTGCTTCCTATCCTTCCTTCCTTCCTATCCATACTTCATATCCATCCATCCTATCCATCCTTCCTTCCTATCCATACTTCATATCCATCCATCCATCCATCCTATCCATCCTTCCTATCCATCCTTCCTTCCAATCCATCCTTCCAATCCATCCTTTCTTCATATCCATCCTTCCTTCCTATCCATACTTCCTTCATATCCATCTATCCTATCCTGCCTTCCTATCCATACTTCCTTCCTATCCGTACTTCCTTCCTATCCATACTTCCTTTATATCCATCCATCCTATCCATCCTTCCTCCCTATCCATCCATTGTATCCATCCTTCCTTCCTATCCATCCTTCCTTCCTATCCATACTTCCTTCATATCCGTCCATCCTATCCATCCTTCCTTCCTATCCATACTTCCTTACTATCCATCCTTCCTTCCTATCATCCTTCCTTCATATCCTTCCTTCCTATCCTTCCTTCCTATCCATCCTTCCTATCCACCCTTCCTTCCTTCCTTCCTTTCTGTCTGTCTGTCTTTCTGTCTTTCAAATCAAGCAGGAATAGTTTCCCTTAAAAATTATGCCTTTGGATATAGTCTGCTTTATCTTTCTATATGAACCAAACATGGGTTGAAAACAGAGGTTGAAGATTATGAATGTGTTGCATTTTTTCAGCACAATTAACTATATAAGTGAATTTTCAGCAAATGACTCATTAAAGGATCACTATAGGGTCAGGAACACAAACATGTATTCCTGACTCTATAGTGTTAACACCACCATCTAACCCCCCTTAACCCCTCATGCCTCCATAAATATAGTAAAAATCTTACTGTATTCAAGCCAGAAGCTGTAAATCTGCATGCTGTTAGACTCAGAAAAACAAGCAGTCTGCTGACATCATCGGATGTGATAGCCTGATCCAATCACAGTGCTTCCCCATAGGATTGGCTGATACTGACAAAAAGGCAGATCAGAGGCAGAGCCAGCATGATTCAAACACAGCCCTGGCCAATCAGCATCTCCTCATAGAGATGAATTGAATCAATGAATCTCTATGAGGAAAGTTCAGTGTCTGCATGCAGAGGGAGGAGACACAGTGCTGCCCTGTGCTCTGCTGACAGCAGATCTGAATGGATGGAGGCATATTATGCCTCCATCAACTCCGAAGTCCCTCTGGTTCACTCTGAGTGTCTGCAACTGGAGGTGTTCCTAGCTTTCAATGTAAACACTGTATTTTCTCAGAAAATACAGTGTTTACATGAGAAAGGCTGCAGGGAGCTATAGTTCTCAACTGAACAACCTCATTAAGCTGTTCAGGTGACTATAGTGTCCCCTTAAGATAATTAGTAAGAAAACTAATATGGCTGCCAGTTGTAACCTTATTGTTGTAATCTTCTTTTTTTGCGTTAATCATGTAATCAAGTATGTATCTGTTTATTACTTTTATGCACATGAAAAATCTTGCTAGTGAAATATTTTATAAAACATATTGGAGTTTATTCATTAAACAATAAATTGCGGCAAACTGAAAACCGAGTTTACAAAATGTCCGCCAACATGGCCGAGTTCGGAATGTTGCAGAGTAGCAGAATCTGACTAACTGTATATTGGCTTTATTTTTTTTAAAAACGGTTTTCAATTATAACCACAAACATTTACTACTGGTGAAACTGTAGTGTTTTTTTTTACTGTTTTAATATACTGACAGGAACAAAAAAATTATATTTAGTTTTTGTTTTTGTTGTTTTTCAACTGAAATCTTTATTTAGTTTTAGTGGAGTACAATAGAAAACATTGCATAGAAATTCTTACATCGTCACAGTAACCATGTTACAGTTTCCAGACATATTCCAGTAACTTGTACAACCAGGAATCATAGCATGTCAGTGAACGCTCATGGTTACATATGTGATCGGTGTATAACACAAAGGAAACCATAATTACATAAGAAACAAAGCTTTAGTAATGGGTGACTCAAATAATTGACAAAGAAATAATAAAAAAGGAAACAATATCATGGGCGTATGATTAATGAAAAGGTCACCTCCCAAATGAAACAGTGGGGACAGGGGCGTAACTAGGAATCACAATGCTGAGAATAAATGGAGAGATTGTTAGTATTATTAATACTACTTATAAAGCACTAACAAATCCAACAGTGCTGAATGTATGCATGCGACCACAAAGCACATGAATTGAGTGAAACTATTATTTTACTTAAACATTTTCATCCTTTTAAGCAACACACACTCTCATATGCACTCATTGGCACACATACTGTTTAACCAACACACACTTTCACTGACAGAAACACACATTCTCACTGACAGACACAAACTGACTTACATTTACTAACAGACACACACACACACACACACATTCTCAATGACAGAAACACACTTTCTGGTAGACACACACTGACACAAACACTCTTACTGACACACATACACTCACTGACAGACACAAACACATTACTGACACACACTGACAGACACACACATTGTCAGACATACACACAAATAGAAAATAAATACATACAAATATAACATCATTTGACAAATATAATTAAACGGATCCTACTGTAAGTTTTTCAGAGCAGGATAAGGGATATAAATATACATAATGTTTGAAAAGCTAGGCCGATACTATTTCTTTAGACCTCTGAATGTCATAATAGGGAATATCAAATAAAATGACACATCACAATTACAAAACCCCCAGTATGCTATTTAAATGTAATACATTATTTATCTTTTTATTATTATACTATTCTTCAACAAGTGTCCATCCCCATGTGTTCGCCATTGTTTTCATGCTTTGGGTCTATATTTTTGACTGAGATTTCTAAGAATCATGATGTTTTTAAAAGGTCCTTGCGGTTGTCATGGATACCATTCTGTATAACTAGATTAATTCTTACCATGGTCAGATTTCAAGATTTACTTCCATGGAAGTAAAATACTAATTTCAAAGTGAAAAACCTTCCAGATGGGTTATAGTCAATGCACAGTCAAAAAGCGTAATTCACTGGCAATATATAAGCCTTTATTGGTAAAATATTATTTAATATAAAGAAGGCAGGCTTAGAGGTTAGGCTAGCAATACTTAGCATTCTTTTCAAACAGGCACACTAAATAAAATATCAATGAGCATATTGTAAATCTGCTTCCCTCGAGAGGTTTTATGATCTGGAGAGAGACCAAGGACACAGCTACACCATGGGCTGCTATTTTTTAAGACTCAGCTGCCTTTATTGCAAATAGACATAGGCAATCTGTTGCACTTTGGGTTCTGGATGGCTGAAAGTAGTGAGATTTTAATCTTGCTGTGCATTATTTTATAATAATTACAAATAAGTATGTTAATCTTCTTAGTGTATCTCCTGACTTACCGTTGCATTGAAGGGTGGCCATCTTTTGCCCTGTTTGGTCAGGAGCACCGTTTATCTGCTATAATCATGAACAATTTGAAGGTCTGATATTGTTTCAATTTCTATTTTTGAAATCTCCTGCAATTGCATAGGATGTCAAATTCATGAATGCACAATAACTTTTAAAGGAACACTTTAGCATTAGGAATAGAAACCTGTTTTCCTAATACCATAGTTTTCTCCTCTGCCTTCAGTTTAAGATCACCCCCTCTTATCTCAATTAAAAAAAAAAAACAAAACAGGAAAACAAGTTTCACTCACCTTTTTTCCAGCGTCAAGATCTAATCCCTGCAGCTGAGTTTGAGTTGGTGGTTGTCACAGTCCGAGTGCCCTTAGAGGCTGTAAGGAACACAGTCACTACCGGCTTATTTAACCCTGCAAAGAAAGCATTGCTATTTCTACTACCAGTAATGCTTTACATTGTAGGGTTAAAATTAAAGTACCTCTGCACCTAGACCCCATTCATTGAGACTTTAGTGATCCTTTAGTACCCAGCACAGTTTTTGGACAGATAAGGTGCTTCAGGTCAAAGATGACTTCCCCAAAGGGTAAATCAGGAGATGCATGGGAAAGGGAACATATTTAAACATATGTACTACAAAAGAATACATATAGAGGCTCTACTACAAAAAATCTTCCATTTGAATTAAAAATATATATTACCGTTTTCCTTTAAATTATACTTGCCCTGTGCAAAAACCTTTACATTTCTTATGAGCTCTGTTTAATAGTAGATGTTGTGGGATATATATCTCCCATCATGCCATGTCCAGCTACATTTAGAGCTATAAAATGAGATGAATAACAGAAGCTTATCTTAATTTTAAATAATCCACCTTTTTATTAATTTATTTTTATTTTTTTTATACGTGAACTCACTTGCTCTTAGATATCTAGGGTTCAAACGAGTCCCACGAATTATGGTAATACTTTAATTTGGACCCATGGAAAAAATCATTTATAACCTTAAATTAATCAATCCTAGCGAAAAGCCATCGTTGTTCTGATATCCTCTTATCTTAATTCCAAACTGAAAAATAGAAGATGCTGCAGGGCGAATGTTTCTTTATAGATGTATAATTTATAAGTGCGAGATTCTAAGCATTTAAGTCCGGACACAAATCTGTCATGAGTGGTATGTTTGTTTAAAGTGTATTCTCCATTGGATTTTGCCAATCACACTTTGTGCTATGGGCATTATACCTCCTTCCGGATGTTTAACCCTTTAGTGGAGGACTAGAAATATAAAGATGGCATAAAGACCTTTAGTTTGGAGCCAAGGTGTTTGCAATGCGTAAAGTGTACCTTCAGTGTCTCTCTTGATTCCCACAGAAAGTCATCTGACAGGTGAAACCGCAGTCATTAAAATGAATTTTATTCATCCTTTTTTTTAAATCATGTATTATTGAATACGGCATGTAAGGAGTGCAGGAATGTTCAAAGAGAGGTAGGGTGATACTAAGCAAACATCAAGGAGTCATGAAATAAATGGTGCTTGGCTAAGAAGCTGCCTTTATTAACACACGAACCAAGTGTATCGTTAATATTTAGTTTCTATGCACTTGGTATTCAATACATGGCCACAGTCGGTCGTTTTCTTTCCAAGTATGCTAAAAAGTTTTCAAAGTCATTCAAGTCACCAGTGATCAATTATGACCAAAAAGATTTTTTTGTGTGAACTGTGTCTAAGTCTCTGGTTATGTATTCTGCTTTAGCGAATCTGTTCCAGAAGAGACGTTGAGGAGGGCCAAACAAATTGGTTTCTCTGACCGCTACATTGGCAAGTGCCTTGGGCTGAATGAAACTCAAACCAGAGAGCTGAGACTCAACAAGAATGTCAAACCTTGGGTGAAACAGGTGAGAATGTTTGGTTACCATATTGACAGATACAACAGGCTGTACATTTAGAGCTCCATTGGATTAGCAGTGATATTCGTGTACAGAATCCTAGGAATTTTTTCAAAATACTTTGAATAGGTGTTTTGTGATTTTATTTGTTTTTGGAACCTGAGTAAGTCTGCATAATCAAAATAGACTACTGTAGTCAATCTCTTATATGTTAGTGATTTCTTTTTTAATCTATCATATAACAAGAACTATTCTGTATGTTTTTGTTAATTTTATAAAGTTATATAGTTTAATGTAACATAACTCTTGCATCACAACTGCCTTAAAAAGAAGCCCAATCAGTGCATTTAATGCATATTCATATACATTTCCTATGATTTCTATCTCGTCTTTCTGGAAAAAAACAGCAATTTTACTAGATGAGTCCCTAATGACTTTAAAATGATCCATCTTAAAATCTTAAAGTGAGTCCTCCCTGAAGTGGTTGTAGCTCCCTATCAGTAAGAAGAACGATGGATATGTAGTGGCAGAGGACATTACGGAGCAAAATTAACATTAGTAGAATCATATTAAATACCTTTTCCTATCGTAAAACACTCTGTATCAATATCAGTGGAGTGAATACACAGAAACATCACAAATTGAAACATGACAGTTTTTTTAAAGGAGCACTCTTGGTACTATAACCACTACACTGACATCTATGGGTGCTGTCCAGCAGTTTTGTCAAAATGTTTAGCAGTGTTTTGACAAAACCTGGGGCTGTTCCCTTCACTCATAGTTGCTCTCTTTTCAGCTGTATTGATAACACAAAAACTGCACTAGCAAAGTATCAACCTGAACTGCAGTGATAGGCCGAGTGTCCTGGAACCTTATTATTGATCAGTGCAGCTGAAGAAGGGGTGACCTATGTGTACCAAGGAGAGCCCCAATTTTAATAAAACCCTTACAAAACTGTTTGATAAAAAACAAGAAACAGCATCATAGACTTATGCACTATCACTACTGCAACAAGCTTTAGTGGTAAGATTAATTAGACCGCCCCTTTTACATCTCGAGTATTATTAGTAGATTTACAATCCCCAAATTGCAGTTATAAATATAATAATAACAATTTATGCTTAAAATACTGTTAAGCTTGAAATAATGCATGATCAATTATTCATACACAACAGAATAGAGAAAACTGAATAAACAGTCTTTCTGCTTTGATGTCTTACATTAAAGTGGTTTGCGGTTAGAGAAAACTGTGTGGTTTGTGGGGATTTATGTTAAACTAAATTGATCATTTGAGTTTGTTGACTGCCAGATTTACAAATACAATAATTCAACAGATTTATCACAAAACTATAAACGTTGTTGATCAAGTGAAATAATAGTGTTACGTTTTTTTTTTCTTTACAGTTTTTTTAAATTTATTTTTTTAGCAACATTTGTTTAATCAGGATGTAGGGTTAGAAAAGTTTAAATTGATACTCTGTAGTTCCTTTTGGTCAGCGTCCTTGCATCTTGAAAGGTTTCAAATTGAATTAACAGTTAAACTGGGAGTTTCTAAAAGTAAGATTAAAATGAACCTCTGATATATAAAGCTGAGTCTACTGGATAAAACATGTCTGTGAATACCTTTAGTGATATTTGTTCCTTGACATGAAATGCAGAAAACAGACAATTGTGACTTTCTAGATCTCTCTTAATGAAGAAACAGTTATCTCGACCAACGCTAGGACCGATCAAGAGCATAAACAGACCACCCTGATTGGTTAAGAAGATAATAATATTGCAATCTTGATTTTCAACAGTCGTCCGACAGCTTAACCTGCTCTTTATCAGACAATTTCATTTTTCATATCCACCGTTCCTTATTTCACCCACAAAGCAATTTCTTTGTCGCTCTTCAAGAGCTCCCATTGAAACTCTGGCATTCCGCTGAAGTGGCAATTAAACAGTATATAAAAAACGGTAATCATGAAACATCAGGACCTGACCTGGTTTAAACGTGCAGCATCTGGCACTAAAAAACTAGCCTAGCAGCCATCTCCCAAGGTGCTAACATTGTTTTATGGGCTAATACTTTATTTTAAGTGCCCCATCATTACCAAAGTAATTCTGCATTCATGGTAAGTGTCTCCGTTTTAATGAAGTTACTTGGTATGCGCATCTAAAACGCACATACATTGGTAAGCTTGATACTGTCATTTGCTATGAGGTAATAGACTACCTCTTAGATCTAATTAATGAAATAGCCCTCAATAACCAGAGAGACATGTTGTCAAAGAAGTCCTCTCCATTCCTTTACCATTCCACCCTCTAGTATTCAAATAGATTGTAAGCTTAGTGGGAGCAGAATAAGAAACGTATCTGCAATTTTTGTAAGGACTTTTTTTTTGCCTTAGAATAATTCTTCGGTGTAGACTACCTTGGGTTGACATTGATAATAATAATGCCAGGTTCATTTTATATCTCATGTGTCTATGGCCATCACATCACTGAACAGAGGCAGAGACAAAGAGATCTGGATTGCATTTAAACTTCTGCAATTAAAAGATATAATTCAACAAGGAGCAATCTTTGTGATGCAATTCAGCAGAATGATGTCTATCTAACCACATTTTCTCAATTATTTCGATAACAATGTATAACGAACAGGGTTTTACAAGAGCCCACACTGAGGTTATAGTATTGCATTAGACGCTATTCTTTTCCTGTTTGCTTGCACTGTGAATTTGTTGTTGTGATGTGTTGTGACCCAAACTTACTTGTGGCTTTATTGCTCTGTTGTCTCTGCAGATTGATACATTGGCTGCTGAGTACCCAGCGATAACAAACTATCTCTACCTCACCTACAATGGACAGGTACTAGATGTCTACTAACTGGTGATGTCTTGACATATTAATATTAATACTGTTGGAAGTCGCGCCATATTTAGTAGATAAATTGAAAGCTGATTTAGAATAGCGGGGAGATTTAGAGCATGTTGAAAACTATATGCGTTTTTTTATATATTTTTTTCTGGACTGTCTTTTAAATTATTTGTGTCTTTTTCGTAATATTTTTTTTTTGCATTCATATTTTTGTTTATTAAACTTTATTTTACTCTAATTCATTCCTGATGTTCTCATACTTCACTTTAATTTTGACATTGAAAAGAAGGCAAAATACATTAGCAGCATAGAATTTTTAGAAAACAATATGGCATAATATTTTTTTGTGAATGCTACAGAGGCACAAAACAAATTTGGAATATACAAAGAAGACAAATAACAAATTTGAATTTTAAAATGCTTTCATGAACTAAAACAACTATTTAAATCTCCAAAAAAGACAATCTTTAAAGCACTTTGATAAACCACCACTAGTATTTGTTGTGGGGGACTTGTTATAAGGACCTACAGATATTTAAATATCATTTTAAATTCAGTTACTAAAAGTTACTAAAAGTATTTGAAAGACGTTTTAACTCTTGATATATTTAGGTAGGTTATTTCTTTTTTTGTATCATTAATAACATTAACATTAGCAGTGTTTTTTTAATAAATTGTCTGCTTCTAGTTTCGGTTGCTACTATATTTTCTATCTGTTTCACTGTACGTCTGTCTATCTTTTAGGAACATGATATAAAATTTGATGACCATGGGATGATGGTTCTGGGGTGCGGGCCTTATCATATAGGTATGTGATGATCTTCTTTCTTTACTCTCATAAAGTCTCTCATTCTCATAAAATTGCATTAAAAAAAAATGTTTTGACAGTATAGTTTAGGTTCCCGACCCCTCGCTCCTTAGTTTAAAAAGGTATTAAATGTACCTTTTTTTCTAGTGCTGCCCCGGATCATCACAGCATGCCCTGCCTATGCTCCGTCTCCTTGGCTGACATCATCAAAGTTGGCAATCTCAGCCACACCAATTCTTTCCCACTGTCACTGCCACTAGATGTATTCCTAGACAGTAATTTACACACTGCCTGTTCTCTGAAAAGTCAGTATTTAAATTTAAAAGCCTGCAGGAACAGCACATAGACACCAGAACAATTACATCAAGCTATAAGGGTTTTGGTGACTATAGTGTGCCTTTAAGAAATGCTGTATGTGTTCTCTTTTTTTCATTTTACAAATAATAATAATTTTAATAGAAATTGGCACTTTTATAAATTAGCTATGTTACACCCCTCCCTGTCCCGACTTTCAAGCAGACAACTGGCCCTGTTATTTCCTGGCTTGTTTATTTCAGTGGAGCTAAACTCAAGAGGCAAGCAATGCCCTAGAACACCTGCCTTGCAAAGACTTCCCATTGAGCTGAATTGGAAAGTCTGTGATAGGACAGCCACAGAAAGTCTGGGCGTGGTTAGAAGGGGAGGACTTGCAAAAGAACAGCAGGTTTTACAAGCCATTTTTAGATAAACCCACAATGAAAAAAGCCTCATAATTAAATGCATGCATGTTTTCATTTGGGTATATCTACTAAATAGTGATTTAAAAAAAATGTCCAGTGGAGTGTCTCTTTAATGTCCCTGCGTCAGTTTATTTTCATCTCATTTTTTGGTTTAGTATGAGAGAGTTAACAAGCATTTTCAAAAACATAGCACAGAATTACAGTTTGGCAAGCAAAGGCCTACATGCTGGAATTATATGTTCTATAACTATCTGCTACAGGCAGCAGCGTGGAATTTGATTGGTGCGCAGTCTCCAGCATTCGTACATTGCGCCAACTTGGCAAAAAGACTGTGGTGGTGAACTGTAACCCAGAGACTGTCAGCACAGATTTTGATGAGTGCGACAAACTTTATTTTGAGGAGTTGTCCCAAGAAAGAATCCTAGATGTCTTCCAACTAGAGGTGAGTGGCCAAAGTTATGAACTTTTGGAGTTTGGTTAGGTTAGCATTGTTCTGTTTTGACCCTGCTTGAGATAATCCTGAATACTACCACTTACTGTACTACCAATTGCTTAACCCTTTGAATACAAATCTATGTTTAACAGGTTAAAGACACAGAACACATTTTTTTACATTGTTGCAAATGTAACGTGAAAATACTATGTCCTCTAATACTTTGTTATTGATATCCAATCTTTTGCAACGGTATTGGTTATGCAATCCCCTGCTTCCCTTTTCTTCTTATCTCATACTGTATGTCTTAGAGCGCTATGTAGTAAATTCTTCCAAACGTTCCCTTGATATAAAAATGCATCAAAGATCAATCTATTTATGGAGCTTACTATGTGTTAATAATTGATACATTATTTACAACAGAGAAAGGTTATTTTAATAGGAGTCTTTCCTGTATGAAAGCCACATGAGTTTTTGATAAAATTGTTATACACAACCAAGGATTAGAGACTGTATATGATGCAGGATGTGATTACCTCCATTATAAGGTGTAATCAAGCCATCCTAATCAGTAGCTAACAAAAAAAGTGAGAAAACCAGAAGAGTAGACAGTCGGGGGTCAGTGCCAGGGCAAATGGAGAACCAAGTCGTGAACATGCCAAAGTGTTTTACAGAATTGCAAAGCTGTGAAAATCAATATATCTGGAAATCCTGGAAGCTTATACAACGTTCTAGCATAGTGCATCCCCAGTTTTGAACCTTCATTTTTTTTTATTATTATTTATTATTAGTTTTACCATTGATACACAATAACTAAGATGTCATGCTATCATGGTTTGAAAGTGGACACTTACTGTTATGTTTCCCCTGGATACAATACCATTTTATGTATACACATGCTTGCTAATTGTCATGAATGAGGCAACCTGAGTGCGGTTAGGAGCCTTGGATGCAGAGAAAGCCTAACTGGGATTTAGTCCTGGGTAACCTTCCTAGCTATAAATGACTTCTATTCTGAAGATGGGATAGATGCCACGGAGCCCAAAACATGTAAATTAGTCCATAGAACATATGCAAGGACACTATTTGGATGACATAGTAACTACTTCAAAGAACTGTACAAACACCATAACCACTACATCATGCTATTGTGTTTATGATGCCAGAAGTACTTTGGTACCTTTCCATTGTAAGTAGTCACACTGGCTTACAACTCTCAGCACCCACTACAACTTTCAGAGACCGGTAGTACAGGAGCTTCTGGCTCTCCTGTAGAAGTAGTGGAGGCAGGGAGCGGCATCCGGTGAATCCCAAGTGAGAAGTCATATTGTTCTAAAACAGTTTGGATACTTGCAATGGGTGAGTGCCAGGGCACTCTTTACACCATAACCACTACAGCACGCTGTATGAGTATTGTGCTAGGGGTGTTCCTGTAATAGTGAGTAAATGACACATTTCTGCTCTTTTAGGTGGGTTCGGCCAAATTCAAATTTTTTACTGTGCAACTGAAACGATTTACTACTTGGGCACTTATCACTGGTCTTATTACTGATTGCTTTTTTTGTAAGGCATAGTACCCTACAACACATTTACAATCTGTAAATATATCCAGGATTCTTTGTTGTTTAGTAAAATGCTTCCATACAGATGGATATAGCAATCTGATTAGGTGATAAGCATCACTTGTGCTTTTGTACTGTTTGTCCTCCAAGACATTTCATTGAAGTGCCTTACAGTGGAATTGTCATTGTCTGAGATGCTGCAATGTTCATTCTGTCTCTTACTAGCAATGTGATGGCTGCATCATCTCTGTGGGAGGGCAAATCCCCAATAACATGGCTGTGCCGCTTTACAAGAATGGTGTAAAGATCATGGGAACCAGCCCATTGCAGATCGATAGGGCTGAGGACCGTTCTATGTTCTCTGCTGTTCTGGACGAGCTTAAGATTCCCCAAGCACCATGGAAAGCTGTTAATTCCCTGGTGAGTCAGATAGATCAATTTCATTTGCAGCTCAAAAACATATCTGTACATCCAGATAACTATGAAATATCCAAAGATATTAATGATGTCTTTTTCAATATATATTTTCAACAGGATGATGCTTTGCAGTTTACAAAGACTGTGGGCTACCCATGTTTGCTTCGTCCTTCCTACGTACTTAGGTAATATACAGTATTAATGGTAAAGTCTCATTGCGGGTAACCAGCCTGTGAACCACCATGTGATATTGTGGGATTTATACACATAAGTGGGAACTGTGGACAACTGACAAAACTGTACATTTAAGCCCAAAGTTTTGATTTGGAAAACTAGCTGATTTGGTGAATTTGTACAATTGAGATATGTTGGCCAAAAACTTGTATTTCCCTTCTCAGTTCTCCGCAATTTACTGAATAAACGCCTGAATTATACTCGATGCTGCTTAATTAGAGTGCCTATAATTCATACGTGAGGATAGTGGAACTGCATCAATAGTCTACCTAGACAGTATACTAGCATGCATTGGCCTGCATAGTATGTGGCTCTGCACAGCCTTCTATAGTTAAACACGGACATATTAAGGTTAAGAAATAAGAATCCCACCATATTCTCTTCCAGTGGCTCTGCAATGAATGTGGTGTATGGAGAAGAAGAGCTGAAGACCTTCCTTGCTGAAGCCACCCGTGTCTCACAGGTAGGCAGTTTTCTAAACTTTCTTTAACCCAATGAAGGTAAGCAGTGTCAACAAAGCACGTTGATCTTGAGATCATGACAAACGTTAAGTCAAGTTTTAGGTTGATAAGGAATTCTAATGTTTGATGCATATTCATTTTATCCCCCAAAAATGCAGAAAATTATTAAAATACATTTTTGGATTGGGATTGTGTTGAAAACAAATACACAATACTGGTCGAACATCAAACTATGGTTGCGAGTTAAGGTCTCAGCTATAAGCCTCCCTTGGACGCACATCTCTTTGAGAAGACCACCTGTAAGCCCAAACAGTGTTGTCACAAAACACTTTTTAGAGTAGTGCTACAGTCTTGGTACTGATGTCTATAGAATAAAATTACTTTTCACCTCTGCCCAGGTAACACAGGTCTGACATTGTTAACCTTGCAGTGGATACCACAGTACCCGCAAGAGACACTCTAGGGCATCCGAATTTAGTTTTACTGTCTAGACTGACACATATATTATGATGTTCAGAAAGGTTCATATGTTGAGCTTCCTGACAGCATTCAAAATTATGTGCAGTATAATGAGTCTCTAAAATTCTTTGACAGGGCAATGTAACATAGTAAATTATCCCAATAGCAAATCATTCTCTTAGAAACATCCAGACAACCTGGCTCTTGACAGATGGCACTGATTTCAAGTGGCACTAATCATTTGCTTGAAAATTTGTTTATTTAATGGAAATATAGGTATAACCGTGTCATGTCTGGAAAGTGTAAAGTGCCAAGTATCGATATAAAGTTTTACACTACAAGTCATTGCACAGCTAATCATCAGTGGTGGAGTGATGGGGACTTTCTCTTGCTTCTGCCACAATGTAACAGACACATATTATTTAGAAGTGGTACTTGGGAACTGGTCTAGGTGGCATGTATTGATCTTGTATAAAATCAGGTTATTTACTAAACAGGATGTCATATTCTGAAACAATGGGTAACTGTTGAGAACTGGAGAAATATGCATGCTTAATACTAAAGCACGGAGTCACATTTTCAGGGGATAAAATGGAATATATATTAAAAAAAAAACACATGCCTTTCTACCTTCTTCTGAGCGATTGTATATAACATTGTCTACTGCGAAATGATCCAAGGTTAAAAACAAAGATTAGTCTTATAAGATCCTGGGCATCTGAAAGGAGGAGGTTATCTGCAGTCTGTTACCAAATGCATCTTCAGTTCATAATAAAATGCCAGTTTCTTTATTTTAATATTTGTGGATAAAAATGTTATCATACATTATACATAATGAATTGGCAGACTAGCAGAGATCGTTAATACGTGTGCCAACTTTTAGGCAGTTCTTCCTTGTTTTCCCATCACTCACTTTTTTGGCATAAGCAGGGGTTTTAAGTCATTTACAGTGTATCCAGTGGGGTATTGATTCATAGAAGATGAAAGCTTTTGGCTTAGTCTTTTAAATGCTCTCTAGGTGGTAAGTAGGAAAGATGGGTATTTACATAGCTAAGTGATTGATCTTCGGGAAAAAAAACGATACTGTTAAAAGCTGACAACTCCACGAGTCTGGCAGAGCGAGCTATGTCTGTAAGGACTTAAGATGTAAATAGGCAGCTTTCTCACATGGGACATTCTCTCTCTTATTTCAACAGCATCTAGAATCAGAAGTTCTATGTTTAGAGCAAAAACAGAATAATTTGTGCTTTTTACATTTAATTTTTTTTTACAAGAGACATGTTTGATTTTTTTGTCAGGAACACCCAGTTGTCATCACCAAGTTCATAGAAGGAGCTCGGGAGGTCGAGATGGATGCTGTCGCAAAGCAAGGAAGAGTACGTTTTTAGTTTATATAGTCCACTTGGGACCTGTGGCTGTTCAAGACCTGCACTAAGATGCTCTTAATAGTCCTTTTCAACTATTGGATCTTTATTATCACTTATCATCCTTCAAATTTTTTATAGTGTACTTTTAGACTGTTATTATCATGAAATTGTGTTCAGATACCGTATGCAAGATTCACATATTTTGCCATACTAGCATAAGGCTCAGCATATTTTCCTGCTAGAAGATACTTGAGGTTCTACCTTTTGGCCTCCCTTGGTTTAGTTGTCTATAAAAAAATTGTGAAAATGTAATTTGAACATATTTTATTTCTAATAGTTGTGTGCATATTGTACAAAAATACACACTATATTTCAAAGTATACAGAAAATGCATGTTACTTCTGTAATAGAAGTCTTGGCTATTTATTTTTAGAAACAATTTTATTATGATGTGTGAAGGACAGAATTAAAATTCTGTCCATGTTATCACCAACTTTAAAAAGACACAAGGAGGAGGATTACTGATTAATAAAGTGATACTATGTTCTAGAGCAAGGGTCCTCAAACTCCGGCCCCCCAGATATTGCTTACCCTCAACTACCATGATTCTCTGGCTATCTATGTAATTCAAAGAATCATGGGAGTTGTATTTCAGCAACACCTGGGGGGCCGGAGTTTGAGGACCCCTTTTCTAGAGTTAGTAAGGTTCTGAATGTCCTATATAACCTGCTGTGTCCTGAATGTTTCAGATGTACAGACTGTTCCTGACACTGACAACAATATTTTTATTGTGTGTAGTGACATGATGGTGGGCACCTGTCAGTGGCTAAATTACTATGAACAGTGTTACCCAACTAGAGGGCCAATGACCAGATAGCCAGAAAACCCAGTGTCATCTCTCTTTGTGTTGTACACAAATTAGAATAAGGAACCCTTATAGTCAATAAATACTGTCTGAAGAGCTCTCCTGATTTTGTAGTCATATATAGACTGTGAGTCAGCAACCATAACCATGGCCAACCTCAGTTGCAGTTCATCATATAGTGCAGTGGTTCTCTAACCCACATCCACGTTGGACAAAACTGACACGAAGTAAGTGGAAATGTTAATTCCATATCATTAATGCAGCCAAGATGGGGCAGTCCTTGATTGCCAGTAATAGCCCTGGTTTATATCAAATGGTTTGATATTAAACCAAGAAGCTGGACCTGATAGTGGGTACTCTAATAACCACTATAGCTAACTTGTTATCTGGTTATATTGTGCACATTTTACTTTTTTGTCAGTGACCCAAAATAACATTAGCTAGGCCACTCATTCTTCAGTTATATTAGCTCAGTGATTAATTCGTCAAGTTTTATAGGTAACATTAAATTACATTTAGCAAAACACATTAATTATACTCTTGCCAGGACCAGAGGGGTCTTTTTTTTTACTGCTCCGGGTAAAGTAATGTGGCGAAAGTGAACAATTTATTGTGTGCAGTTGCCCGAAGCTTGTTCATACAAGTTGGAACCCAATGAAATGACATGAAGATCCATTTTTCGTCCCAACCAAGGGAATAAAAACATTTATATCGCTTGTAGTTTCGGCATCCAGCAACAACCAATGCACATTACCACTTTATTACTGGGAGTTGAAATATATCTTTGATATAAAATTGTCATCTTCTCCCTTGTACAGGTGATCTCTCATGCTATTTCGGAACATGTGGAAGATGCAGGAGTTCACTCTGGTGATGCCACCCTCATGATCCCCACACAGACTATTAGCCAAGGGGCACTGGAAAAGGTGAATATCTGTGTTACAATGTACCATTTAATATTCTAAGAAAGTATCTTGCAAGAGCTTTAGATCATTGATTTAAACTTATAGTTGCAAAAGAGGTCAGAAACATATGATAAATATCAATATTGTAGCCCCCTAGAGCAGCAAATTATATTAGAGTAGTGCTACTATCCATTTAATTTAATGCTGTTTATTAAATCATTTGTGTATTAGATCACTTTTTTCTTGAGGGCAAGTGATATTTTATGTCCCACGCAAAAGAACAGAACTGCAACATTGAGCTTTTTTCTTATTGTTTCTTGCGCATGTGACTTTTCCATGCTGTTGTGCTTAACATTAAAATAATTGTGATGGGGAGTAAGTTATGCCTGAAATCTTATTGTAACAAATAAATCAAAAATATAAATGAAAAAAGTGCCAAACAAATTAAATTAGTTACATTGTCACATTTTGTTTGGCAATTTTTTCATTTGTTCGTTAGTTTTATCCTGAGACGGTTACACATTGAAAAGCTGATAATTAGTATTCACAAGCGTACCCCAGAAATATTCATACAGGTTTTTAATTATACAGTTTTACTTACTAAAGTTAGAACTCAAAGTGAATTCCCAATTTAAGGCCAGAGTAGCCAATCTGAAAGCATAGTTTACTTATCTTGGTTAATTATACCTTAAATTTTAAATCACTTTGAATTCTCTCTTTCGTGAACAACCCTGATAAATATTTCTCCTGTGCTTCTTTGGCAATCTACAGAATGATGTCAGATGTATAAGAGATATTTAATAGGACTCTTTCAAGCAAACCATCTGTTGGATTTAACTGTTTACTTTGGCTCCACATTGTGCAATTACGGCTGCTGCCCCCATAAATAGAACGCATGCAACTCACGATCACACATTTTCAAGCCTGCTCTCTACCACAATGTGTAGATAAAAATATTTAGATTGAACAGCTGGGCTCAGCATTTGCTTGATATAGTCCCTTAAGTATTTACTCTGGCAAAAGATAAGCGAGTGCTAGCCCAAGACCCCTGACAATCTATGATATATTGGTACAAGGGTAAGTAGAATTCACATATCTCTACTGCACAACCTGGTTATTAAGTGACACCGTGATGACGCAGTACATTGATGTTCCTTTGCAAGCTACACGGTTTGCACTAATATTTTTTGAATGCTGAATTAACAATGATTTATGAACGTGTTCCGTGGTTTATCAGGGAGGAAAAAGTCTTGACTGTCCTCTCTGAATGTTACTATAGAAATGGGTCTAGACACATAATATGTGATCCATATTGTTCAGTGCATGCATCATAGCCATCTGACAATCTACATTTTTCTACTGGACCTGTGATTCTGGGATAGGGTGTAAGAGTAGCAGAATGTCTATTGTTCCATAAAAGGGGTGTCTGGTTACTAAATTCCACAAATATGATGAGATTTTTCAAGGTGAAACAGGTGCTGTTCCAGGTGCAAAGTGCTAAACGTTGAGATACATTCCATCGGTTTCCATGGTAATTGCTCCTTACTTAGAGCTTTGCCCCTAAATAGCACCTTTTCATACCTTAATAAACTCTCATATTCTAATGGAAAACAATATATAAATATATACATATATATATATTTATTTATTCATATTTAATACTTTGTTATGTATGTATATAGGGTGTTAAAAGAAAGCCCTATTATTTATTTCACCGTTAAAAAATTATATATAATATTTATGGCTAATTAAACAGAAAGGGTGAAATTGTAGTAGGTTGAACGCATAGTAAAAGTGCCAAATCGACCTTGTACACAAACGTGTTGCATATCAAAAGCCTTGGTCCTTAGCAGATTCATTTTTGCAACTTATTTCTCAACATCTCAATGTTTAGTGAATAGGCCCCTGCTGCCATCCAGCAAACAGAACCAAATGACAATGCAATGTTCTAATCCAGTATAGATTTCCTGCACCCTTACAATGTAATGTAAATCCAACCACAACTGAGGTTTTGTTAGTGATTTATACGTTTAATTGAATTTACAAATCTTTCTGAAGTTTTACTTTTAAAGTATATATTTGGAATGCTTTCAGGATACAATAGAAACGTAACAAAATTCTCAGGTCTTTAATTGCTCCAGCTGTGTAGACATTGGCGCATTATTTAATCAATGAAGTAAAAAGGTTTTGATCAGTATCTAAAGACAGGAGCATGAATTATGGATTCCGAGGGATTTGCAGAGGTGCTTTGTTAGGCAAAGAGGATGCTTCTCAATCAGCAAAGTCATTAAAAGACTTAATGTGAAAGACAAAAGAAGGTTTTAAATGGAGTTGTGTGCCTGGGGGATATCACTGATCTGCTTCTTTAAAAAAAAAAAAAAAAAAAAATGTAAAATTGAAAAGTGGTACTGCAACATTATTGTCCTCTTCTGTAATTTGCAGGTGAAAATTGCTACCAAGAAAATTGCAAATGCTTTTGCCATCTCTGGACCCTTCAATGTACAGTTCCTTGTCAGAGGAAATGATGTTCTGGTAAGAAAATGGCTTCGCAATAACTGATAGCATTCTAATAATCTGCCTCCTTCATGTGATCAGCCACTATCGAGCTACAGCAGATAAACTCAGCCGTGCTTCTTAGTACTGATTGCACATGTACAGTAGAGAGAAATACACATTTGTTCCATTGGCTTGCATGCAATCTGATACATGTTAAGCACCTTGATTTCTACAGGTTATACATCTAGCTCAGCTCACGGGTACTTTAAACAGGTGTAGATTTGGATAACTGCAGCTTTTTTTTTTTTTTAGGTAGAACTTCTAAAATAGTAACATTGAAGATTAAAAGCAGTATGCAAACAGTGGGGACACGCTGGTTTTGCAATCTCCCACGTAGATACCATGTTTAACATCTAGTTTATATGATTAAAGGAGCACTATAGGGTCAGGAACACAAACATGTTTTCCTGGCACTATAGTGTTAAATCCATCAATTAAAACTAACCTTATTTCCAGCGCCACGCGGGTCCTCTGGTGCTGATGTGCGCCCCCTTGGTGACATAATCAGAATTGCTGATTTTTAGCCAATCCAATGCTTCAATCCAAACATTGGATTGGCTAGAATCAGCAAGGGGGCATGGCCAAATACCGTTTTGACCAATCAGCACCTCCTCATAGAGATGCATTGAATCAATGCATCTCTTTGAGGAAAATTCAGTGTTTCCATGCAGAGCGTGGAGACACTGAACGGCAGTGCTGACTACTTTGCAGCACTGAGCCAGGAAGCACCTCCAGTTGCCATCTGAGGAGTGGCCACTTGGAGGTTTCCCTAGGGGCAATGTAAACACTGCAATTTCTCTGAAAAGGCAGTGTTTGCATGAAAATGCCTGCAGGGAATGATTATACTCACCAGAACAACTACATTAAACTGTAGTTGTTCTGGTGACTTTACTGTCCCTTTAAATATTTTACAGTGTTATTCAGTAAATGGAGAATTGTCAGCAATTTAAAGTGTGCTCCAAACTTTATACCAAACTAGCTAAACTGGTAGCATAGTTGACTTGGAGAATTTTCCAACTCATCTAACTTCTCCTTAAATTTAAAATTCACTTTGAATTCCTGACAATTCTCACGTTGGTAAATAACCCTGTAATGTCTTCTTCTCAATCAAGGTGAGTTTACAACCAACACAATGCACTCTCTTAATGAACTCAACTGCGATTCTGAATTATATGTATGACGGATGCTTATTGTTGTGTCATTGATATCCAGAAGAGTGTGATCATGCGTTCATTTTGCTTGATCCACTTATAACATGTGAATGTGAATGTTTTGAGAAAATTGGATTTTTAATTAACAGGGTTTCTGTTACAAACTGAAATCTGAATGGCAACATGTAGGCCTAAGTAGCTGATTTGGAGAAAAAAAACGTCATCACTTATAGACACAGCTTGTATTTTTTTGCCTGAATTTTGAAATTTGGATTTTAAATAAATAAACGTTTAAGAATACTTGTTCTTACCAGTTTCTGAAAGGAGCCTAAATTACATGCAAAGCCCTAGCATGGCAATATTATCTCAATGTTTATAGGCGTTGCTGTTACAGAAATAAATTTTTTGTTCTGGGTGTTTGTGGTTTGTCAAATGTGTCTTTTCAACCTTTGGGGACCCAGTAAAAAAATGAGGACCCAGTTTTTTAGGTCCTGACCCAGAGGTTAAAAAACAATTATTTAAGAATATTCTCCAAAGTGTGTATCTAGGCCTACATTTGCAGCAGATTCACAATGATTCATTGTTTAGCGAATACACCCCTTGATTTCCTTAAAACGGACACAGCCGGACACTGAAACTTCTTGCTGTGGTCTATGTTTTCTCTCAGGGTTATCTACTAAAGTGAAAACTGCCGGAATTTTAAAGTGAATTTCAAATTTCGATTTACTACAATTCAGAGTTTAGTGAATACTTCCCACGTACTCCAATTTTGCTTACATAACCTGTTTGTATTGTAGTCACCTATAGTTACATAACGGGCTGTGGAATACTGTGAACCTCGACTAAGGAGGTCTAACCATTCACTGCGGGGAAACGGCAGCCTTATGGGACAATTTCCATTTGCAAAGCAATCTAATTTCTTGTAGGAGCCTGTCCAAGTTTCTTCCTCCTCCTTCTGTGCTTGATGCAACACACAGACAGCTGTGTGTATGTGGGCTGCCTGCATAATACCTTCTCCGAGCGCCGTCACTACACTATTGATATGTCAATCACTATTCTGTGAGCAACTTGACAAAGCATTGATAAGAAAAGAGCCCCTATCAGACTGTATAATACAGTAATACCAGGGTGCTGTCACAAAGAGAACGTGTCACCTGTCAGGATGTGCGTTGGTGTTAGACACGGATCAAAGTCCTATGGGTGCTTGTTTGTTATAGCACATGAAATATTTAAAGGCGTAGCATTAAGATAAATATTAATGAGGACGATACAAAAATAATATTCTGTGTATTTTTTTAAATGTGTTGCGCACACACTAGTAATCAAAGGGTTACATTTAGATACTATTATAGTTATATGCAAAATGTTGTGCTAAAATACCTGGTAAACAGACTCATTAAATATTGAATTGTAGGAAAATGAAAATCAAACTGCAAAATTTAGACAAAAATAGACAAGCTGCAACTAAAATAGAGTGGACATTTTTCTTTAATTTCTACGTCTCTATATCTTTTACATTAAAAGGCTTTCTCTCAAGTGCCCCATAACTTTATAGCTATAGATCAGACCTGCACAACGTGTGGTCCCCCAGATATTTTGAACTACAACTCCCATGATCCCCTGGCTATCAGCCATGATCCCCTGGCCGTAGGTTGTGCAGGCCTGCTCTAGATCTACATGCAGCTAACAAGACGTCCCTCGAAAATCTCCGCTTCAAAAATGCTTAAACGAACACTATGGCATTAGGAATACATATATGTATTCCTAACGCTAAAGTGTCCTTGTCACTGTTTAAGTGACAAAGCCGCTGCTAAAGAGGTGAACTTACGTACCTTTTCTCCCTCACAATGCAAGTCTCCAGTCTTCCCTCTCTTGCGCTGAGATCATCGATTAAATAATCGAGTTTTACTCCACTGAAAAACCTCTGGTAATTGTCAGAGATGGGTTAACCCTGCAATAAAAACATTGCTGTTCCTGTAGAAGGGCAATGTTTTCAGTTGCAGGGTTAAACCCCGGGAGACATGGTACCCAGACCACTTCATTGACATTAAGTGATCTAGGTGCTTCAAGAGTCCCTTTAGAATCTATCTAGAATACACTCGGAACCTCAACTAACCATCTTTCTAATAAACACGAATCATCACCTATGGCACTGTCTTCCTACTCTTTTCAATAAATCATGTTTCCCCTGTCTCCCAAATTTTTCAGAATATAGGCCTGCATGTCTGTCAAATAAAGAACTTTCAAATATAGCATCTAAAATTAGAACTAGCATGAAAACAATACCTTAGATATTTTGTAGAATATATAAATATATTCTACTTGCTACTTTGCAAAAGCGATAATCAAGATACCATTTTAGTTTATAATATATCACTTGAGTTTCTATTCCCTGTTTCAGTCTCTCTTGATGGCATAATTGAAATAAATGTATTAAGTTTGCTGTGCTGGTGTATAATATCGACTTCATGACATGTGCCTCTACTTCTTGTCTTGCATGCCTAACCTCACTTGAGCATGGCATCTGATGAGGAACTATTGTGATCTAGTGTGATAAAGCTCATATCTTCACTTTCGTTGCTCTTTTATGACGCTCCAGTGAATACATTTGACAGATATGTCACCTATTATATATTCAGCAGTGCAACACAACAAAGGTTCTGGAGAGAGAATTCTGTGTTATTTCTCACACACTGTCAACGTTGAAATGGGTCACTGGTGGTACACATATTACGTCACCACAGCTCTATGACTATTTCGGCCCACAGACTACTCATCGAACTTCATTATTCGGGACCAATATGGCACTTTGGATCCGTAGATATAATTAATCATAAGGTATAAAAATAGCAGTGTTGGTTTCTACATGAGACCAACTACATAAATGTTGCTTTTTCCACAACAAACTAAAGTAACATTATTAATATTTGTTCTTATGAGCACATTATTCCTATCCTTTATCTGTGTTCGTATCACAAGTTATTCCTATGGTAATAGGGGAATCCAGAACTGAAATATCTAAATTGTTTTCTATTTTAAGAAATACAGATATTAGATTAGGTTTTTTCATGAATGCTCTTAAAAAAATACTTGACAAGCCACCACTGAACACTGTAATTGGGCTTCAATTTGCTGAAGTAACTTCTATAAAAGACGTCATTTTGTGTAAAATTGGTTTGGATATTGCAGTTGATTATCACATTGCATCTCTATCTAAGATTCATGAGTATTGCTAAAATTATTTCCACATAAGGAAGATGCAGTTGTATTAGAATGTCCTGATTCACGTTGATAGATTAGCAAGTTGTTCATTACAGATTGAGTTGCATGAATCTCTCTGAATACAAAATGACTTCATATATTCAACTTTCTTCAAATTTCTATTATTTGGACATTTTTACATTTAACATTAGGTGATCGAATGCAATCTGAGAGCTTCCCGATCTTTCCCCTTCGTGTCCAAGACCTTGGGAGTTGACTTCATTGATGTGGCAACAAAAGTCATGATTGGAGAAGAACTGGATGAATCCTCTCTTCCGACCTTAGAGAGTCCCATCATCCCAGCAGATTACGTTGGAATCAAGGTGAGCTTTCTGGGTAGATTGCTGTTATTGTTAACCGCACTATCTGACAATAACATATACATTGGTAGTACACAGATCTTTAAAGATTGGACATGAAATGACCAACTACAACCTTGACTATGTTAATGTTAAAGATAAACACTGTCAATATCATAACCTATGCTTAATTTAACCTGGTCAGTTTTTTTTTTTCTATTAAGAATCATGGGCTAGAGAACAGATGATTAAGTATCACAACCTGCACCTTAAAACCAAGATTAACAAGAAAACTAGAAGAACAAAATATTTAAAAGAAACAAATAACTGCCTTCTGCGATTCTTTATTAACAAAATATATAAGTACCTATATTACATACATTGTAATTGAAAATGTAGATCAAGGTGCATTGGTGGTAGGCTTTGATTTTTAGTTGGTATCCCTCAGATCTGAAAAAACTTTTAAACTTTTTATGAGATTCTTTATTCAACAATGTATGGAATTAGTCTTCAAATGACTGTACAATTAAATAAATTGATTATATTCCATTATCCCACCCATAGGCACCCATGTTCTCCTGGCCCCGCCTCCGAGGAGCAGATCCAGTCCTACGATGTGAGATGGCATCTACAGGCGAGGTAAATGTCCTTCTTAAAAGAACATTGAGAACAGGGTTATGTCTACGTTGTGCCAGCACTGGAAATGGGTTATTCTTGTTTTACTTTCAAGTAGTTGTTCCTATTTTACTTTAAAGTAGTGGGTACATAACTAAAGCTACTGCACCTAATATCTGTGTTTTAAAGAAACATTTAGAATCTCAGTAAATTATTAGTCATAGCTGCGAGTTCTTTAAATGAACTGATCCACAAAGGCACTTTTTATCACTTGTGGTGGCAATGTCACAAAATAATACATTTTTTATAAACATGACAATTTATGGACTTGAAGATTTTGAATGAAGCAATTCCTTGGGATTCCTACCTTTGAAACTCATGACAAAAGGGAAAACTCTGGTCCATAATGTCTTTTGCCACTTAATAATTGGTAGCAACATAGTGGCTCATTGACTCCCTACCATGCATTTTTCCATTTAAATAAACAAAATAAAGTCATAATAGCTTATAGATAAATTCTCAGAACATGCCCAGCTTTTGTAAAACTATGGGACCCATAATTTCAATACAGTTGTAGCTAGCGATTCTGCACACCACACAGGAGCGGCTCAGGCTTTTGATCTCTAATTTTTACTACTGTTTTTTTATTTATTTTTTATTTGTGGTTTACATTCTTCCTGACTGATTATTGCATGGCAATTCCACCATTGAAGTCTATTATTCAGTAAGGAGTGCAATCCTTTACTCTGCTAAGAGAATTCAGCCATACACTGGTAAAATGTAGACTGCTGATTGTGGACTTTTTATGCACTACTTTAAATAAAGAACTATAAATGGTGGTGTAAAAACTTTAGCGACAACCCGGATTAGGAAACAAAATAAAGAACAGGTAATATTGCTTGAATTCAGGTCAATGATTTGTATATGATGATATACTGATTCCAGTCTTATACTCTCCATGTAGGTGGCCTGTTTTGGAGAAAACATCTACTCTGCATTCCTGAAGGCCATGATCTCTACTGGCTTCAAATTACCCCAAAAGGGAATTCTCATTGGAATCCAGGTTAGAAATTGAAATTTCAGCTACAACCTTTTTTTCCAACTAAAAGCTAACAGAGCAAGCTCTAATATAATTCTAGCTGAGCTAGTAATAGTTATTTCATAGCAATTCCAGCAAGTGTTAGAAGGTGGCCATCAGTGGTCTAGGGACCAAGTACTAATTTAAATTCTTGGCCATCTTTGCATTGTTCCTGTCTGTTTTTCAGACCTCTCCTCTATGAATTTATTGCCATACTATTTCTTTCTGTGTACCTCCATATTTAATATAACACTCTCAATCATATTTAATCCCTACCTCTCCCATTATGTCTGTATCACTGCCTACTCACTTTCCATGTCCTTATCAGAAATTACATGTTGAGTTGTTGTTCTATTTTTTTTTAAACAAACTGTTTAACTCGTGTCTAGCATGTAATTTTTATGGTTTTCACCTTGTTCAATTCAGTCTCTGTAACGATACCTTACCTTTACCCACCGGACCCGCTCAGAGCGGCGTTCTCCCTTGCTGCTTCCGAGTGGCGGCACAGTCTGACACTGGCCGATCGGAGCACGCCGACATCATCAGAATATTGCCGCAGAAATTCAAATGTGGCCACGCTCCCGAACCTTTTGGGGGCGTGGCTTTAAAGTAAAAGACACCTCACTATAAAAAAGCGCCCATGTCATTTCTTCAGCGCCCTAGTGTGGTTCTTGTGTGTTCCCTCTAGTGCTCTTGTGATTTTTGTCTGTTTTCTGGTATTTTGACTCTTGGCTTTCCATACTGACTCCTCTCCTCTCTGGTTCCCTGATTATTGGCTTGTTTATTTCTCATGTATTCCGATTTCTGTACTCCCTCGACCTCTGGCTATTCCTTTGATTATTCTTTGATGTTGAGTCTGGCCACCCTAAGGTCCGGTATACGTCTCTTTCTGGGTTACTCTCTGCGTGAAGGGGTCACTGTCGTGACAGTCTCCCTGTCTTGATTTCACCTAGAAATATAGATATATGTCTATAACACCTTAAACGTCACACTCTGCTTTTTAGTGGTGAATTTTATCCATCCAACATACAAAAGGTGGACTTTATCAAGCTTAACAAAGGCACTTGCAGTGCTGAAACATTGCTGTGTTGTGGCTTGGATGAATACATTTTACCATTGAGAAACTGTGTGCAGTTTGTATTCATTTCTATTACATTTGATAGGACTCAAGGGTTGAAACTGTAAGTCCAGCGCTGCAAAATAAAGTTAGTGCCTTCCCATGAATTGGATTTGTACCAGCTTACAGGCACCTCTGGTATTAGTCCACCTACTTGTGAAAGTCTTTAAACTCTGTCTCTCTGAGATATAAAAAAACCTATGTATCCTAGATTCAGAAATGTGTTATCTGTTCTCAGTGATCGTGTAAATGGATGTTGCTATTACCGTCACCTGCAGCGATGAATTATTGTCACTGATTATGTGTTTGTAGAATCTCACAATGTATCCACAAGGTGTTTATTGACTATCTTTTGCAGCATTCATTCCGCCCCCATTTCCTTGGCACAGCTCAGCAACTCAAAGATGAAGGATTCAAGGTACACAATAGTTTTCTTTATGTATTTCTTGTGTGCGTCTGATTAACATATTCAGTATCTTTCACACTGATTTGGACTATTTGTGTAATTTCATATCCCAAATGAAAATCTTCAATTTTCTCATTATCATCAATGTTACAGCTATATGCTACAGAGGCCACGGCAACTTGGCTCAATGCAAATGATGTTCCAGCCACACCTGTTGCATGGCCATCTCAGGAAAATCAGAGCAACAGTGGTCCCTCAATTTACAAGTAAGCTAAAACAGATATTAATGTGCCCCTATCAACTGCGTAGAAAGAACAGAGATACTCCAGAAAATTATGTTTGTTTCCTGTAACTGCATTGGTTTCTATACATACATTTAAATTGAATGCAATGAAAAGATATAAGCAGTTGGAAAATAATTCTCCTATGGTCAAGTTCAGCCGTCAAAACTTGAAAAAGTTTAAGTTTTGCTAAAAGACATCGTCTCACAAACTGCCAGATGGTGGTGTCGCAGGATCCTCCATAGACCTCTGTATGACAATCTTGCCCACACATAAGAGCAAGAGAATACAATACAATACAGAATTGATGCGGGTGTCTGGCAATGCTAAGAGCTAAAGAAGTGAGTGTGGATTAATCTAACATTAAGCATTTTACAGGTAGTTAGGAAATTACTGACTCTGACTACATCTCCTGGTGCTTTTACTAGTTCAAAGTATAGATGAGGTCCAGTGGAAGCTGACTATATCATGTATTAGGGATAACAAAGTCCCTTTAATTTAAAATAACCAATTTATGAGTGAGTTACTGCAATAAATATGTACAGGCTTGAACATTCCTATTTTATATTAAAATGTCTATAACACAGTTATTGTAGAAACAAGAGGACTCCTGTACTTCCTCCACAAACAAGGTGCTTAGCTGGACCTAAGGCTGGCTAGACCTCAGCCAATAGTAGAAAGAACAGGATGGTCCAGGTACTCCAGGTGTCTAAATACGGCAGATTAATTGGAGAACACAGCAATGTTTCGACCTCTACTGTGGTATTTATCAAGTCTTTTTTGCACACCTTGAGTGCCTGGACCATCCTGTCCTTTCTACTATACCCAAGGTATGACCATGTGCATGATCGCAAGGCTGTAGAATGTAAATAACAAAGAGTATGTGATTCTCATCCTCCTTAACATTGTCACCAAATATGTGAGAAAACAGAAAAAGTTAAGGTTTTGGTTTCACAAATTGTTCAAAGCACAAGTACGTTTAGCCACCATGCCGTTTCACCAAAGGTAAACCTAATTATGGTTTGATATATTTTTATAATTAGTACTTCTAATTCTGGTTACATTTAAAATTAAACTTGCCAACTAGACTTTGGATATAACATAATGTCACTTCAGATCTGTAATTCTGCATCAATGTTCCAATGGATATAAATAACCTAATGCTTTGCGGCATACGTCAGAGTTTCTGTACTGTTTTCCAATCAAATCCAGTAAATCATTGATTATCTTGGGACCTGGTGTGGGTTTTTCTTGATCAAGTGACAGTCAACGATCTCACACTAATGTATAATCCACCTATTTGGCACATAGTCAATTCCAACATGCAAGTCATCTGTAAGATTCATTGTTCACTGAAATTGGGGCAATTAGTTCCCTCATCAAGGGCTGGTGCTTTGATTGCCTTCCTTGCTATGAATGATAGCTATTTTTGTGTAAACAAAATCTAAACATTCATTCAATAAAAAATAATTGATATCAACTATTTTCTACTAAAGTATTAGTTTTGCCAAACCAAAAACAAGCATTTTATTTATATTCCTAATAACCTTGTTCAAAATATCTTGCGGCAGTACAGATTTATAGGAACACTCCAGGCACCATAACAACTTCATCTCAATTAAATTGCATGAGAAAGGTACACCCTTTTCTCACGCAACTGATGCTCTAAACCTATCACTGGCACCCTGTCTAAAGATTCCGTATTGAAGCCGGGGTCGTGACCAGAAGAAAAAGAGCATTGTGGATCTTCACAACTTTAGGATTTAACATTTTTATTCAGGTCAGACAACATTGAGATGAAGTTGTTATGGTGCCAGGAGTGTGTCTTTACAAAAATCATAATTTGAAAACATTTTTACAGAGTTAAAGGAGGTAGATGGTTGTGTGCTGCATATTATTGTAGCACTATTACTTTAAATGGGACATGCCACTAATACTAAGCTGACAACTTTTATTTTTTACTCAGGTTAATTAAGGAAGGTAACATTGACATGGTTATTAACCTTCCTAATAACAACACCAAATACATTCGTGATAACTTTGTGATCAGGAGAACTGCAGTGGATTGTGGTATCGCTTTGCTCACCAACTTCCAGGTAAGATGTCCTTACAGAGATTTCTTACTTCCCTGGTCATGTGCATCTTGTATAAATCTTAAATCAGTCTTATTAAACAGACATAGGTCCATAATTCATACACCCCAGCCAATGCACATATAATTGCACCAAATAATGCCCATCAGACAATTATGTGGATTTAGAAACTAGGCTAAAAGGAACTGCTACAGGACATGACTAGCAAGTTCTGCCTTATTTGACTTGATTCACTTTTAAAATGTTGACTTTTACGTACACTGATATTGTGTACTACACATATGCATTTGTTGCATTTGCCTTTAAACCAATCGATTACAGTTGACCAGCGGGCAAATACGTGATAATTCTAACTCCGAATTATGAAACAAACAGAACAGTTTCACCCATTAAAAACAAATTGAAATATTTTTGCTTTGGACAAATCAATTAGTTGTCAAACAAATTGATATCTTTAAAGACAAATTAAACAAATGCACATCTGTTGTGGATTATGATTGTTGCCTTCTGGGGCCCTTTGTTGTACCTAGCACATTATTTGGAATTTTTCCTTTTTGTTGCGGTTTATATTGGTATTAAAACCAGTTCATAACCAGGTAAAACTAATGTTTCTTTTAGGTGGTCAAATTATTTGCCGAAGCAATAAAATACTCTGGAGATCTGGACGCCAAGAGCCTTTTCCACTACAGACAGTTTGGTGCTGCCAAATCTAAGTAGACAGCCTCAGCTATCATAGAGCAGCTTTCCTATAGGAAGAGAAAAAGTGACAATACCAGCCACAAGTTCATCTTCTGTTTACTTTCATTTACATTTCTTATGAGAATTCATTTGTTTTCTTTGACAATTTCGGTGCAGTTATAAACTCTAACGTCAATCTACTCTATTTCTTACTAGGATATGATAAAGTAAATACACAGGGATGATTGCACATCATTGAACACACTTTTAAAGTAATATAAACTTTCTTTGTTTTAAAAAAATTGTGAAAATCCCCCAGGAAGAAAAATTAGAATAAACTAATTAGAAAAAAAGGCATTTAGCTTTGTATAAGCCAAGTAAAGAACAAACTTATATCATCATAGAGCATTCACATTTCAAACAAAAAAAAATCCATTTATTTTTTATTGCGGACTTATCCTTGTACTTTGACAAATGCATTGATACTATTGGCAAAAGGAAACATTTTGAGTAAATTGCACTGGAACAAAGGATGTTTTAGTCAAACAACCATAAAAACCCCAGAAGCTACACTGTTTCAAAGGGCAGAAAGTTCTAAACACAAGAGATACAAAATGGCTGTCAAGAATAGTGAGCAATTCATAATGCATGTGAATGCATAAAACGTATACCTTGTAACCATTAATAAGGTGACCATGCCATAAGAGGCGATTCAAAAGTATGAGCCACAGAGAAAACATTTTGTTTATATAGATTCATGTATATACAACAGGATTATTAAGCAACAAACCAATTTTTAACTTTATGACACATAAAGGATAATTTGCCAAAGTATAAATTGTTTTGAATTCAATGTGTATTTCACATATTATGCCAAATTACCAAAATGAAAACGTAGCTGAGTTGGAATTTTTACAGTCTTTCTATTTTGGCGTAAATGTTGAAAGTTATATAACTTTGAATTGTTACAAATCAACACTTTAGTTAATAATCCTATCAGGCTTGTATTACACCCCTTGTTTAATCATTATTTTCTGTTCTTTGCCATAAATAAATTGAAACAATACTCCATATCTTTGTTAAAATATTTTTTTTTCTTCTTGACAAACATTTTTAAAGATGCAACCACTACATGACATCACACAATGGTCACAGTACGAACATTGGATTTCACTGCTTTATGAGTTTCACAAGATCATTGTGATTAGAAGAAAAAAACCCCAGATCAATAAAACCACTGGGACTTTTTCAAATGCCGCGTCAGATATAATTTATTTCTCAGCATCTTTATAATTGACCTATACGAAAAAATGCAAATCCTAGCAATAGATGGATGATCAGACTAATTTGGTGATATCCTTAGCACTCTGTTTTTTGAAAATCGTTATTTATCAAAGACATTGTTTAAATTAAATGCTCTTATTCAATGTGCAACACATTTACAGATACACAATGCCATTTAGACCTTTCAAAACAGCTATAAAATAGCTTAACTATAAGAAAAAAAAGAAGGAAGGAAGGAAGAGAAAGTGAGATTGACTAAAGGATAAACAAGCCAAATCCCTATATCGAAAGCCATAAAGGGACCCTTGAAGCATCAAAACAACTGTATCTTAATGAAGTGATGTTGGTGTATAGATCATGGCCCAGCTCTCCCACTGCTCAATTCTTTGCATTTAGGAATATAATAAGTTTGTTTAGGTAGCCCTAGCCACACCTTCCCTGGCTGTGACTCACATAGCCTTCCAACACACATGATGAAAAAGAGTTTGTATTTTTGTTAGCTTCTCTTGATGCACATTGTATTTAATTTGGAATTCCTTACCACCTGCTCTGTTAATTGTCTGCTAGAGCCTACAGGAGCCTCAGGTATGCGAGTAACGTTCAATTAACAGATAAATAACTTCTATAACTTCTAAAATAAACACATTGAGATGTAAGAACCAATTGAAAATGAAACCATTTTGTTCATGCAGGTTGTGTGAGTCACAGCCAGAGGAGGTGTGGCTAGGGCTGCATAAACAGAAACAAAAGTGATTAAACTCCTAAATGGCAGAGTATTGAGGCTACAGGATGGTTGACTTTCCTAAGGAAATTTCTGTATAATTAAAGAATTAGTAAGACAATGCAATGTTTCTAATGCACCAGACATTATACACCTAAGAAAAAAAACAAACAACACAAAATAACACAACACAACACATACATGAAATGAATTAGATTTCTTCAGAAACACTTATGTTCTGGGGTGAAAAAGTTACAGGGGCCAAAGTATAGTTCCATTTTTCAAAATAAAATATGTACAAAAAACAGCCACTCGACATGCGCAGTTAAAAGAGGCAGATAACAAAAAGCTTTGCACATAAAATATGTAGCTTACCTAACCAGTATACCACATTATATGGATGCTATACAAATTAGTGGCAAACAGAGGATGTTCTGCTGTGAGCAGAAGTTAAATAACTTAAGTTCAACCAGTGACAAGTCGCCATTAAACAGGATAAGTGCTACTCTGAAAAGGTTACCTACCTATCCCTGTACTTTTACCCATACCAATCATAAGCACTATCTGACAAAGGAACAACCATCACCTCCACTGAGTATTTTCAAATAAAAAAAATCAATCAACTTCTAGGAAATTCAGATAATGGTAGTTCCTAGGAACGTTGCAGGTTAGGTATGTGCATTTTTCTGGTCTACATACCCATCTCTCTCATCTTACTGCTATTACGTTGGAAGACTTTACATTGGGAATTTGCCAGCCATATTTTAAAAATGTGTTATAGTTAAAAAAAAAACAAAGTAAAAAAAGTTTCAAAAAGAAAACAAATAAGACAAATACATCTGAAAGACCTAATTAGCAGAATCTTCTCGAGGGCTTACTATATCATGGTATGAATGAAATCTCACAGCCAATCCTCACCTACCAAAAGCTTTGTAGGGGATAACTATGGAGCTTGTGAACTTATACAAAGACAGTAATATCTAATTTAAGTGACAGAGAAAAGTGTGCATACGTACACTTTAGCCGCAAGTGGCTTCTCATTAACTAAAAACTAAACGAATGAGAACCATATGAGCTTGTAGAAGGAAATTGCTGCAAATGGGTATATGGGTAGTGCATAACTGTATATTTCATGTTAAATGTTTGTTACAATAAGTATGAAGCAAGTGTTTTTAAGAGATGATACTAACATAAAAAAACAGTCCTCAAAAACAGATTTAGGCAGATTCTCTCCCAAACCCAACCAAATTAAGGAAGATAAGATCCTTGTTCACTGCTTCAAGCAGCTGCTGTAAGCCCTTGAACTGCGCGGTAGTCCTCTCTGATAATGGAAGCTGATATTATACCAAGGACAATCCAGAGCTGAATAAAGCTAATGTTCTGTAATTATACCCCAAAGTGCTATAGCTCGGCAGTCGGTGCCAGATACCCACAGCTGCAGGTGCCAGGCTTTAACACAATCAGCCAGACAAAGCTGCCTAATTACAGCCCACACTATGGCGCTGCTAATGGGATGCCATTGACTCAGATCGCTAGTTCTGTGTTTTGCAGCTTTGTTTGTCTCTGTATACCATTTGCCTGTGAGCCTCGCCAGTTTGTATTTTATACTTCTACACAAAGCCGCTTTGTTCTACAATCCAGGCATGACATTAAGTGCAACTGTAGGCTGGTTCCACCTGAATTTGGGTCATGCAGAACTATGGGAAAGATGGTGAGTGCCCTGTAAAGAGAAACAAGGAAAGAAAAAACTCTAGACTTAGCCAATGGACATCTTTCATAGCATCGTTACAATATATTGTATGAAAAGGGGTCGTTCAAGGATTTAATGTGTAAGTGAAAAAAATTCATGGTTGTACTTACAGGGAAATCGTTTTCATATTTTATTATCAATGGGAATAAAATATTACATGATATACGGCTTCTTTTTTATTACTTTGTAATGCATAGATAGACGTCAACACATAATTTGAATGTTTTTTCATAGCTGACTCTTACTATGTGTGGGCAGCCATCTTTAATAAATACTTCTTATTCACACTTACCACTAATGCATCAGAGTTTGTGCACAATATGTTCAAATACTACAGACTCAGAGCTTGTAGCCTGTGATTTACTACCGGAATTGTGAATATACTGTAGCTCTTGATTACTCGCATGGACTTTGGCCAAGAGATGCAGTGAACAGAAGTATTTACTTATAAGTGCAAAATATTTATAGGGGTAAGTCTGACTACTTTAGAAGTGCGCCACTGCCCTATGGGAGGCAGTACCGTTATTTTTAACAATTCATTTTGGGCAGTTGCTCAGAATGTGTTGAATAATATACTTTTTTAAACCAGAGAATCCACTAAAACAGCATGTATGCATGCCAACAGTTCTGATATTGGGGTCCTGTCTTGATGTCCCATTTTAGTTCCCCTGTGTCCCACATCAAGGGACAACAGGGAACTGTCCCCGGTCAGCACAGAGCAAGTGCATCATGAGTCACGCTTGCGCTGGGCAGCCGAGCTCTAGGACTAAGCAGAAAGAATTTCAGCAGCGATGCCTGCCTGGTCCTGTCAGCGATGCCTGCCTGGTCCTGTCAGTAAGGTGCCAGCTAGAAATGTTGTCACACCCCTTCAGCTGGAAGGCCCACCTCTTTATGGTGGACCCGCCCATTATGCACTTTGAGATGATGCGAGCTGTGTCACTTGCGACGCGGATAGTGTCACTGGCAATTTCCCCCCTTAGGGGGGCATAATATAAAGATGTCCATGCAATACACAGAGCTGGCAACAACACAAAGATAAGGGTAATTGGGGGCACACCCGGAACATGCATTTCTAAGTAGTGGTGGTGCTGTAAAGACCAAAATATATACAAAATCCAGATTAAGGTACGGTGCACACACAAAAAAAAACAGTTTTAAATTTTACAACGCTGTTTAACCCCTTAAAGACCAAACTTCTGGAATAAAAGGGAATCATGACATGTCACACATGTCATGTGTCCTTAACCCCTTAAGGACACATGATGGAAATATTCCGTCATGATTCCTTTTTATTCCAGAAGTTGTGTCCTTAAGTGGTTAAGGGGTTAAAAGATCACCTAGATTTGCAAATGCTGTGCTGCTTAGGGACTGTTCCCCTGTGTCCCCAGATGTAAGAAAGGACCCTGAAATCGGGACTGTCACAAGGCCTCGTAATATAGTGTTTTCAAAATAAGCGCTAATGTAAATCGCTTTTATGAATATGTATATATATTATTTTATATTTATAAACACACACATTTTTTTAGAATATTTTATATGTATCTGTATCTGTATTTTATATGTATTTTATGATCTGTGTCTTTGGGTCTCATCTACTGCAAGTTCAATTATAGGTACTTTGAAACACAAGCAAGGAGGCAGACTGATACAAAGGAAATGCATGGCCGGCTGGATTTATCCTTATCTCCTTGAAGAAAGCTGGAAGTGAGGTGTGCTATCTGTGATCAAGAAAGAAAAAAAATCCTATTAACATTAATTGGAGGATTTTAACTCCTCAAAGATGCAGTAATTGAATTGCATTGTCTTCTAAGTGATTAGGATTAATTGCTTCCGCTGTATCACTTTTCTGTTCATTATCTGCTGTAAGTGGGACAATTTTCTTGTTTCGAAGAGTTCATCCATCTAATGCAAACCCTCCTGCTGGCCGTGCACAGCCTGCCAAGACAGCAGCTACTGAGATTACATAGGTATAGGGAGACTTAGAACTGTCTGCGTATACAACCCTACAATCTACTTACTAACCAAGCTCGTGGAAAAAAATAAACAAAACTTTGTTCTCTGGGAAAATATTGCTGTATCAGAAGTGACAAAGCATTTAGGAACTGAAAGTATTTTAGGAGCTTGTAAGAGCTGGAAAATGTGGGCTTAAAATGAAATCAATTAAAGGAAGCCAGCTGCATCCACCAAACGTTAAGGGTTTCTCAAACCCTTATGAGTGTAAAATAGATTAATACCCTATTGGCAGTATTCTAGGTCCCCCCAAAATAAATACATTGTTAAATAAGTTTCACTTACCATACTTCAGTGCAGGAGAAGCTCCCCATCATGGAAGTCTCAAAGCTCCCGCAAGGTCATGGGAGCTATGTCGAGGTCCAATCAAAGGCTTCTTACATAGAAAACTTCAATTGGTGGATTTAACAGGCTCTGAGCCCACAAGTTGAGGGGGGAAGGGAGGGAGTGAATGGAGAAGGAGGGAGGGCGTGGGTTTAAGAGAAAAAAAAAGAGAGGGCTTTAATCAGTGTGGGTGGGAGAGAAAGGCAGTGTGTGCTGACAACAGATAGTTTTTATGCACAGAATTGACACTCGGTAGTTCGGAACAGAGGTCTGGGCTGCCTAGGTCATATTTGGTGAGGGTGTAACTTGCCCACAGCACACAATTAAAATTATTTCTGGATGTGCAGCGTTTCAAGCTGAAACACTGAACATCTAGACTCCTACCAGCATGACCACTTCTAATTACTGAAGGGGTCATGGTGGTTAGATTAACCCTTTAAATATTTAATGCATGTGCAGGCCATCCTGCAGCCAGGATTGACAATTAACGCTATTGTTGTACTATGTAGATGACAGAGTAATAACAGCGCAAGCATGTTATGACATTTGCTTGCGCTGTGCAGAACAAATACAGGGCCTTTTTCTCATGCTAGAGCTCTTCAGCAGAGCTCTGCGCATTGAACCAACATGCTCACTATGAGAGGGGGCGTGCTAGTCATTAGTGGGGGCCGCTGTGATTGAAAAATGCTCGGGCCAAATTCTTTTCCCAGTACGACCCTGAATTCAATTATCTCTAGGTAAAGAAAAACACACAATTTCACAACTCCCTAAAAGTATCCCCAAAACCCATGGGAACCCCACAAAGTCACATCCTCAGATAGCCCCAATCTGAGTGACCAACATATCCAAAAATCACTCAGCTCGGTTCAGTGGTTCGGATTTTGCATGGAAGTCAACTTTTAACATGTCTTTTTACATGGCCCATACTCTTTGGGCAGGAGGCTAGCCAGCAGGCCCCTCCAGGTACACGTGGCAGAGGCATCTTTGCCACAGACGTGATTACTTTTTTTTTATTTCATAGTGTTAACTTTAACTCTACACAGTGAGATTAACCATAGCTAAATAATTGGGGACATTTAAAGCCCCAAGGGTACAGCAGAAGAGACATAGTTACATGCAAACCCATCAATATTATATATTTTTCTGATATTAACATACACAGCTTTGAATACGGTTTTGGCCTTTCATAGTAATGGAAAAATCATAATCTTCTGACTTTTTACTGGTCACCAACTGTGAAGAAAAAGCCAAACGAATCAAATTTAAAGAAAGTCAGTAACAAATAAAAACTAAATCCCAACAGCTCGAGCGGAATATATGATGGACAGTCATTGTATAAACAATTAAATCTTCTCTTGTCCCTGGTGACCTCTGCTAAACCAATCTTGGCAAAGCTTTCCTCTGCCACTGGTGATTTATATGGGGTCAGTTCACACTTGTGATGTTGGAAATAAATTCTTAATAGTGCTGTTGTCAGTATATGCTATAGTCAAGAGCCATTTGTGTTTGTCTAAAAGAAAACAGTGTTACATAATAACTGCATGAAATCAGCAGTAAAAACACTTTACCTTATATGATTGTATAAGATTCAACTAAAATACCTCTCATATTGCTAATACTATGTATGCAGCTTAGCTGGGACTGTGTATCAAAGAAGGAACTGGGTAAAAGGTGAGGGTATCTCTACAATTAAATACGTGGTAAAGTTACATTATTAAATGCATTTTATTTGACATAATTCTAGCTAAAATTTTCCACTGTCTTTGTAGATAACTATCACAGTCTAGCCGCGAATGCACTAAGTCTTATTGTCTTAGGCCAGGTAACAACAGTTGAAGACTATCAATTCTTTACCTGCTAAACTGGGGCTGCCCAAAAGGTATAGCCCCAGATGTAATACATGAAATTTGCAGTTCTATAACATCTAGCGTTCTACCTTTTGGGCAACCCTGTACTAAACGAATGCCTGTGTCCTAAATGTAAATGATCTTTTCTAGATATGTTGCATTAATTATACATCTATCTCTCTAGCTTTGGGCAACTAAGGAGTTTTGGGCAACTAATTTATTAAAATAGGGTTTATATTTACTACTGCAAGCTGTACCATTATGTACCTACTCAACAGTAAGTGACTGCTCTTCTTGGCTCATCACCTAGTCACTCAGCCTACTCCGCTTGAGTCTAGATTTCTTACTTCTGCTCTTGTTCCATCATAGAACTAAGATCCAAGAGTCAAAAAACTAACAATGCATCATGCAAAGTCCAAGGTAGAGAAGTACTTAAAGCTTCTTTTCAATCTTATTGGAAAATAGCGGTCACCAACAGCTTGTACAAATTACCGACAGATTTACAACCTTGTTGCAAAATTTTGTAGCTCATTGCTAATAATGACTTCCACTACAGATACCCACCATTCACATATCATCGTCTTGCTGGTAAAGCAGTGAAACACACACCTGAGCATTCACACATCACCCTGTGTGGAATGTAGCAATAGGCAACTAGCATCTGGACAATAAATGTAGCGACTATCCTTCTCCCTTATATCTGTTGACCAAAAACCCTGAATTTCCCCTGGTGTAGATGAATAGTTGTCTCCTGCCTTTCCATATTGCTATAAGAGTTGACTCTTTCTGTCCACAGCCGACACAAATATATGTGCACAATGTCTAACCTCAGGTACCAGAAAGTTGGAGTGCGCTAGCAACTGCACTGGAGACAGGGTTTTCTCTGAGTACTCTGAAAAAATATATACAGTATATAGTGCATACTATCACCCCTGGCTCTGGGTTTAAATTGCTCCAATG